TGAGTTAAAAAAGATTCATAGATTGCAGCTTACTGATGTGAAAATAATTACTTTGAAATATTAAAGTGTGTGAGTGCGTAGAATTTTCTCATAGTATTATGTTCATTTTTCAGTTATGAATTCTGTTTCTTTCTTTTCAGTTGCAAAATTCATAATAATAGTCGTAATAGAAAACTCTTTTAACAATTTTACCATTTAATTTTTGTGAAAAATTTGAATAAGAAAATGTGACACATTAATACGAATCCCTCATCAGTGATTATTGTTCATCAATTGCAACAGTTGAATAATTATCATTGTTTTTCTTGTAATTATAATCATTTTCCATTTTTTTTTATAATATTGTTGAACTTATAACTTATAAATTGTCAGTGAAAATGAATGAAAATTATAAATTATTTCATTTTTAAAATAATCATTCAAAAATTTATTTCTTTCGATGGATCTATGGCAAATCATTGAAGTGATGCAGTCATTCTTTCATCATTTCATATAATTTTTAATATCTAATTAAACTTTGAAATTTCTCTTCTTTCTTCAAACCTTTGTTTTATGATTGTTAATAAAAATAACTATTAGTCATTGTTGAAGCCATAAAAAATTTTTCTTTTCAATTTTTTTATTGTATTTTTCTATTACATCACAACTAAAAAGCTGAAAGGATTTAATAGCGGAAATAATTATATTTCAAAAAGATTATCTCACAATTATATTTGAAAAGGCAGCTGTCAACTGATCTGTTTTTCCTTTTTATTTGAAAGGAAAAAGAAAGATTTTCTAATTATTTTACTTTCCAGTTGTCATATCATTCATTTAGAACCTTTTTTAATTTCTTTAAAACTTGAAAATTTGTCGTCAAATTTAATAGGGTTAATAATTTACCTGTATTTATCATATTACTTCATGCTTATTAGCAAAATATGATGCTTTTTTAAAATTGAAAAGAAAAAAATTAATTAATAAATCCAGTTAAATTAAAAATTATTAAATGTTTGTTTAAATCAAAATTTTATGCTCTCTCTTCGTTTTCATTTCTTTTTTTCCTTTTTGCTAAAATATTTTTATTTTGTATTACATTTGTTGTTCACTTCCTTGTTAATAATTACTTCCTTAATTTTTGTAAGAAAATATGCAAATTGTACGTACACAACTGATAGTTTCAAAATTTCTAAAATATGGAAGAATTTTTACTTTCTTAAATAAAAATTTGTATGAAGAATAAGTTTCTTCCATTCATATTAATCTATTTACCTTTATGAAAATCTAATTTGAGTAATTTATTAATTGTTGCTGAAAAGTAATTATAAGTAATATTCATATGTTAACACATAATACTTTTTAATAATTCATTAAAAGTTTTAAAATTTTCTTTTTTATTTCCTTTTGCTATTATTTCCTTTCATTTTTAGTTTGAAGATAATTTGTGTTTAATTTCCAATCATATTTGTGATTTTTTTTAACAATTCAATTACGCAATTACATTTTTTATTGCTATCAAAAAATGTTTTTGGGTTAATGAAAGTAATTAACAATTGTCTAATTTCAATTAATCCATGTGGTTTGATCAAATATAATTAGCTAAAAATTTTTTTTCATTCTAAACTAATTAAAACTTTTTATGAACTTTTTTCGAAAAAGAAAGTTCAAACTGAAATTATTAGCAATAACGAAAGATTTATTTTTTCCTTTCTTCTAATAAAGCAACTGAAGACACTCATTATTTTAAATATTGAATTAATATTAGTGTAAAACATTTCTTCTTTTTGCTAGAAGAAAGAAAAATTTTATATTCTTCTTCCCTGCGAAGTAAATTTCAAAATTTAAAAATTGAAACGGTATGAAAATTTATAAATGCAAAAAGACTTTCAAATAAATTGCCACAAAGTTTATAAAACTGCGAAAAATAAATTTGAAATAAAATAATACGCAAATCTGAAGCAAAATGTAAAGTTTAATTTAAAATAAAATGAATGGATGGATTGTCATTTATTATAATATGTGCATATTTCACTTTGTTTTTTTCTTCTTTTTCATGGTCTAAAGATTATTTTTTATCATTTATCTTCTGCGGTGATTATTTCAAGCAGTAGTTTTTGTCATTTTTATGTGTTTTGCAATCGTTATATTCTCGAATTATTCCAAAGCAAAATAAAATTCATCATTCTGTATAAAAACAAATTCATAAAATTTCTAGAAAATTTTGAAAAATTCTTTTTAATCTATTATCATTCTTAACAAAAATTAAGTGCTTAAAAAGATTTTTTTATTTTTTTCCAAATTCTAACTTAACTATTATACTATTAATAATCTTTGTCTCAATTTATCCGTAAAGAAAAAAAGTATTTCAACAAATTCATTTTTCAATCTTTCCGTCTTCCTAACTAATTTGCATAAATTTACCAGGCATCTTCGCTTTTTTTATAATCAATTATTGGAATTGTAAAGTATTTTGAAAAAGCAAAAAATAAGTGAAATATAGAAGAAAAATTAATTTAACTTTTCATTAAACTTTTTTATCTGAAAGATAAAAAAATAAAAATGTTTCATCAGAAATTAAAATCCATTGAAGAAAAAAAAAAGCTGTTAATTAGCAATCGACAAGCAAAAATATTCTTTTTTATTTTATGCTAATTATACAATCGTAATTGAGGAAATAATAGGTATCGATAAACTGATTATATTTTTTAATTAATTAAAAACTTTTAAAATTGAAATCAAACGTAATAGAATTTGGTTAATTAAACGAATGGTAAATAAACGAAATTCAATAACTATTATAAATTGTAGGAAACATATTTTTTGCAACAATATAAATAAAATTAATGAAAATTTTCATTTAATCGAGATTTTAATTTTGCAGAATTATTTAAATGAATAGCAAACTTTGTATATTTTCATATTACCTTCCAGTAAATGAAAATATCAAATTTTTATTGGTTAGAGAAACTCTTCTATTGTGGCTGTTTTCTCATTCCACCTGCGTAACAATAATTTTTGTCCAATAATAATGAAAAAGCCTAGAAGTGATTCATTCAGCCATGTAAAAATTCCAACAATGAGAACTGAATAGTTTTGCGGAATTGTCGCAGTAAGCATTTTGTTTATTAAGATTTATTATTTATTTCATTTAATGTTAATATCACAATGAGCTGAAAGATTTAACCACAATGCTATTAATTCATGAATTTTTAACCGTATTGTTATTTCGGTCATAATTTTTCAAATTCAAATTTTTTAATTCCAAATTTTATGCTAACTTTTAAATTGGTTAAATTAGTTTTTGATTTTTTCCTCTTCCTTTTTCCTCTTTTTTTTTTTTTTTTGTTTACTAATTTTATTATTCCTTCCACACATATGCAAAGAAATAATAGTCGAGGATAAATAGGAAAAATTGTAGAAATGAAAGTTTGTCACATCAAATTTATCACCTTTTCTTGTCGTTCGTTTAATTTGACATTTTTTTTTTTTTGAATATGTTGTAATTTGCATATTGATGACTTCAATATTAAATCAGAATATTTCCTATTTAACTTCTATTTTTTTCACTTTTATTTTCTTATTATTTCACACATTCATTTATTCATTTTTGTTTCAATTATTTCTGTAGAGGATACTTACTCATTTCCTTAACAGTTATTTTATTTACTTAATAGATTTATTTATTTACTTTCTCATTTACGAATAAAATTTTTAAATTTCTCTTTCACCTCGAAAATTTCATTTTAAAAAGTTCATTTTGTATGCATATTTTATCATCCAAATTTACGAAGCAGCAAACATTGATGGAAGAAAATTTTGAAAATATGAAAAGCCATTAGCTATTTATCTTTTTTGCATCATTCATTCATTGTATTTTATTTTTACTTCAATAAATCATTTTTGTGGTAATTTCTTACAATATGAAACGAATTAATCAGAGCTAAAAATGTACGCATTCTATTTTCCGTTATTATTTGCCTTTTTTAATTGCTTTTAAATTTAAGCACATTTGGTTTGCTGTTTTAACATTAAATAGTATTTAATTATGTATTATAATAATAATACATAATTATTAATAATTATGATAACAATAAAACAAATGCAAAGAAAAGCGATAAAGTATTATCATTATTACTACTACTATTATTATTATTATTATTATTATTATTATTATTATTATTATTATTATTATTATTATTATTATTATTATTATATTATTATTATTATTATTATTATTATTATTATTATTATTATTATTATTATTATTATTATTATTATTATTATTATTATTATTATTATTATTATTATTATTATTATTATTATTATTATTATTATTATTATTATTATTATTATTATTATTATTATTATTATTATTATTATTATTATTATTATTATTATTATTATTATTATTATTATTATTATTATTATTATTATTATTATTATTATTATTATTATTATTATTATTATTATTATTATTATTATTATTATTATTATTATTATTATTATTATTATTATTATTATTATTATTATTATTATTATTATTATTATTATTATTATTATTATTATTATTATTATTATTATTATTATTATTATTATTATTATTATTATTATTATTATTATTATTATTATTATTATTATTATTATTATTATTATTATTATTATTATTATTATTATTATTATTATTATTATTATTATTATTATTATTATTATTATTATTATTATTATTATATTTCTCAAAAGAATATAATTACAGTAGAAATAAATAAACTGTAACAGTTCACAAAAAAGACATATTTTAGAGAATAACACTGAGCCAAAAATTTGAATATAATTTTTATTACAAATCATTGATTAATTATATTTCCACTTTATTGTTATAATTTGTGTTCCACACAAATTATATGCAAAAAATTATGTGAAAAATGATTACTTCCTTGAAAGTACATTCATTTTGCAAAAACAATAATTTTAGATTGGATTACTAGTATCTCATTTAAAATTTATTGATAAAATTATCAATAATGGGAAATATAGGATCGGCTGGATCAAATATAAAAGAGCAGCCACGAACTGATTTATCCGATAATGAACCTTCGAGTTCTCAACAACAAGTTGCAAGGAAAACTAGTCAACCGATGCTTTTGAAAAATCCAAGGTATGACATTTTAATTATTTGTTCTAATTAGGTAGTGATTTTAATATCAATATCTAAAAATTATTGTCCATATTGTTATTGTTATTATTTGCTATTGTTTTTATTATTGTTTATTTGTTATTATTATTATTATTATTATTATTATTATTATTATTATTATTACTATTACTTCAATAAGTAATAATAAGTTCAAGGTTATTAAGTATGAAATAAATTTAAGGTTGTTAGTAAGATTTGTAACGATATGTTAGACTTAAATATTTTATCGTTTTATTTTAATAAAACGATAAAATATTTAGATTCAATTTAGGATTATTTTCAAAAATTTTCTGAAATTAATTGTTTTCTCCAATAATTTAATTTATTGATTAGTCGTGATACAATTTTTCCTATATGATGTCAGTTCATTCAATTTCACTTACTTAATTTAGATGTGACAAATTATTTTGCTGTAAATCAAATGGCATTTTTCTTAAACTGATTATACATAAATTTTTTTTTTTTTTTCTTAAACTGATTATACATGAATTTTTTACCTAAAGAATTTTGAAATGCTAAGGAAAGAGAAGGATATTTAATTTAAAATATAAAACTTACTAGTCATATACAATAGTTTTTTAATAGATTTGATTTTTTGGTTATTAATTTAGTATGATGCATATATTTTCAAATTGATTTGGTGATTTTTTCGGTTAATTTAATATACATTTGCTTTTAAATTTTGTTAAAAAAATAATTTCAGAAATTAGCCGAGTTTTATTCAGGAACATTTTAAAACTTTTTGGATTTTTATAGGCCAAGTATAAGCAGCCAAGGAAGAAAAACTTCCGTACTTGTTCTATCACAACGACAGATTGTAAAAGGATGTATGGATAAAGCGAAAGATGACATTGCGGAAAGAATATATAGACGAATAATCGAAAAACGAGACGATTTCCGGAAATTTGTTGAAGCACTGTCTGAAGTAATTTGTTATGTGAAGTGAAAAAGAGTTCAAAAAAAGTTGAAATCAGATTTTTTAAATTAATTAATTAGTCAGAATATATGATTTATATGTTTTAGGAGCAACGATGTGAATTAGCAAATTCATTACGTAGCTATTTGAAAAATGTTGTAAACCAGCTTATGGATAGGGCAGCAGTGCAACGAATTTCGGAGGATTTCGGTGCACGACATGTACAGTACCGTTCTTCCGGTTTCCGACCGGATTTCTTTGCTATCACGGCAGATGCGGTTACAACGGAATGTGTATTGTTAGATGCCGCAGTACATTCGGCATCCGAAGCTTTATTTGCTTGGTAAGTAATGTTTTATTATATTATATATTCATGTGGAATGAAATTTAAACAATTAATTGAAATTAACATTTCATTAGGACTTGCTTACCTTTTTTTTAAGACATTAATTACAAAATTATCTGGCATTCACCAATTATTTTGTTTATTGCTTCTTTTTTCCGAATTTTGTAATAAATTTGTGATATTTTGCCACTTTAAAATTATATCTATCATTAAAATCAATTACTTTGCTTATAACAAATCAATTTGAGATAATAAAAAGAACTATATGATTCCTAAAATAAAAAAAAAAAGGAGATAATAAAAAGATACTATCTGATTCCTAAAATAAAAAAAAACTTTGAAGATTTTATTGGACTTTTAGATTTTAAGAATTTAAATTATCAATAAAATTAAAGAACAAATTTTGTTGATTTGGAAAGACAAAAGGCATGAAACAAACTTCTTGATTTGAATTTCATATTTGGGATGGACTGAAGGGAAATGCCCTTATGTAGTCGTAACATAACTTTGATTTGAAAATCTTACTGAAATTATGCGTTATTAATAATGCATTACTGTCAAAGTATAAAGCTTTTAAAGTTAACAAACAGACGGTTGGTTTTCCCTGATTCGAAATTCATACTTTATATCTCATAAAGCTAAATGAAACGAACGAAAATTGAGTGGCAAAGGTGGATGACCCCGACGTGATTCGAACACGCAACCTTCTGATCTGGAGTCAGACGCGCTACCGTTGCGCCACGGAGTCCACACCATACCCACTATTTTCTCTATTGAAATATAGCAATTTCGCTTTATTGACAAATTCTGCATAACTTTTAGTACATCTATAACTTTTTCATACTTACTACTTAGATAATTGCTGTACTTCAATCAAATTTTCAATCCTTTTATTACTTCCCCGTTGTTCTTTGTCTCTTTGCATCACTGATTCATAGTGATTCTTTTCTTGCTTCCTAAACCTTTCTTTCCCTTTCCTTTTCTCTCTCTCTCACTTGATTCTTTTCGGTAATTTTTAGGAAATTTATGAAATTCCAGTAAAACATCAGACATTTCTTTCTCTCTCGAAATTGCCCTGCCAATTTTTTAAGACTTGTAAAGCATATCGGAAATATCGAATGTATCCTGTAATGAACTTGATTCAGCAGAAGAAAACAGAAGTCTTCTGATACTCAACTGAATTTCATATAATAATAATAAATAATTTTAGGTCAACGTTGACAACGTTTATGTTCAGTTCCGTACGCGACGGTTATTACAGTGAGCAACGACGACTGCGTAAAACATCACAACAATGCATAAATCGTAACAAAATTTCTTTACCCGCTGCATTAATTGAAACAATAAATCGATTCGATAATGGACGAAAATTGTAAGTAATTTTAGGTTGATCGAGAAGATGAATTAATTTGTAAATAAAAAAAAAACATTTTGAATGAAACTTAAAAGATGATCAAAAATGATTAAAGCATTTTGAAGCAGTAATAATGAAAATAATGAAAGAATGAATTGTAAAAATGTGGAATACAACTAAAAAATCCAAAAAATCTCAGAAGAATATTTCGCATCCAAAACAATTAATAGAAGCATCCAATGAAATTTCATAGAACAGTCTTCAACACTTGTAGTTATTTTCTCAAATTTCAATTTTGAAAAGCCATTTATGTATCCTTTATATTTTTCAGCTCAAATGTTTCATATAATAGTGAATTTTTTGCTGAAAGTGATGTTGATGAAATGAATGAACTGGAAAATAGTAAGAGCATAGCAAAATGGATGGAAGAGGAAGAAGCAAAGTGTCGATCAAAAATGGCAGTAAGAGATGTAGCAGAAAGAATAGAAATACTCGAAACAGGAGATGAAGCAAATGATTCGATTCAAGGCGACATGACGAAGCATATGACAACAGATGTCCATCGACAACTTAGGATAGCATTTCATGCTCGACGTGATTCTACCATCTAGCAAAGAGGACAGTAATTATCAAACACATCTATAATTGTAGTAAATGTAGCCATAATTCTTTCAATAGCATGTTCAATCTTCATCACTTTCATAACCAATAATCTGTATATACATATAATAAAAATGACACGACGCATTCGTAAATTATGTGATGATTAAAGTGTAACCTATAATTTATGCAATCATTGCACTATAACACTTTGACATGTTAGTTCGATTTACTTTGAAAATATCGTCATTTGACGTATTAGCAAGTTGAAAGCAAACTATGTATTTTTTGTTGTTTGGTGTTTACCAAGGAAATTATAAAGCTTACCAAAGAAATAAAAATTCACCATGTAAGAATGAGCTTAAAATTCATCTCTTAAGCGAAGAACGTTTTGGGACGTCTCCGCTTAAGAGATGAATTTTGCGTCATAAAGAATCCATCAGTAGAAGCTACTACGGAACACACCAGAGGACACCTTTGGTACCATACTACGAAGTAGTTATACTATTAGGTATCTTAATAAGGTACCACTGCACATAGCACCACATAACCACCAAAGAAGCAACCGGAATGTGAGCTATATGGGATTGTTCGGTATTTCACGGCTGAAAGGTTCTTCAATGAAAGCGAAGGTGTGAAGTGAGATACGTACGTGCGTGCACGGGGTGTTTTTGCATTTAAGTTTTTCCGTGTGGGCGAGGGGACGGCTTTTGTAAGCAATATGTACTGCCTAAATAATTTTAATCTCATTTAGAACTGTTTAGTTAAGTACTATTACCAATATTGTAAGCGTTGGAGAGGTCATCGGTGTTGGACATATCAGTCAACTTTTAGGCTTATTCTTGGACTGTTATATTCAAGAAACTGATTGAATTTAAATCAGTAAGTCTCTTTTATGATTAGTTTGATACAGTAACACTAGCAAAGAAGAAGTAATAGTAGTAGTATTGATGATGGAAAGTTAAAGATGAAGAATTTTCGTTTTAAATAATGATACAATCGACAACATGTCAATGCAATGACTAAAATATGATATTGAGTGAAAATTTGCATAACTATAGATGGAATGAAAGTATGAATTATGAGGAGAAGTGAGGAGAAACATAAAAAACAAAAGAAGGGAGAAATTTTAAAGCACTGCTCATTTTAATACTGTTTTTTCTCTCTTTCTGTCTACCCCTAACAGTGGATGAATACTGAAAGAGAAAAAATAATGAATGGTATTTGTTGGAAGTATTGGAAATTACTTAGAGATTATGGTAATGATGTTTGCTTAATGGGACGTCAAAATTTGGTTATACATCGAAATAGGGAAGGAATAGTTCGATTCAGAATCGTCATCATATGCCATTTTTTTATTTGAACTTATTTCGAATAACGTTGCATAGCTTCATTTTCAAGTTTTAAGTTTGTAAAAATTTTCAGGTTATCGATTTTCTTATACAAATGATGACTGGACGGTAAGTGGTATTTTTCTTTTTTCTTTTTTCTTCAGCGATTAGCAAACTATGATTTTTAGAATTCGAATGTATTACTTGTTCGTTAAAACTAAAAAAGAAACAACAAAACTGTTACAGGCGGCAGCACAAGCCTGTACCAGATGAAGCACCATTTAAAGCATATGTTGGGAATTTACCCCTTGATTTGGTTCCCGGTGACTTGGATTCACTTTTTGCAGATTATGCAGTATGTTTCATTTCTTTGTCTTTTTTTAGAGCTATGTGAAAAACAAAAATGAATTGTGCTCGTACACACTGATCTTGTTAATTCCATCGAAAGCATAGGCTGGGAATTAAGTGATGTTAGACTGTATTCAGTTTCTGTTATTTGAGTTGGTACTCAGTTCAAGATCTCTTCAGGTTATTGAGGCAAAAATGATGCGCGATTATGAGAATGATCGTTTCAAGGGTTTTGCTTATATTGAATTTCGAACTCGAGAGGATTTGGAAAGAGCTCTTACTTTGAATGGTGTAGTAAGTTTAATGCATGTAATTGCATGTACAGTAGTTCTATTGTTGTCATTTTGTTTTTGTAGGATGTAAGTAAAATTCTAACATTTTGAATCAAATTCACATTATCTTATTAAACTAATACCATTTCTTCAAAGCAATACGATGGACGAGTGTTACGTGTGGATGTAGCAGATGCTCCACGCGGAAGAGAGCGTAGAGGTGGCGGCCGTGGCAGTTTTGGTGGGCGTGGTGGTGGTTCGCGTGGTGGTGGACTACCCTTCAAAGGTTTTTTTTTTTTTTTTTTTCTATTATAATTCGCACATCGTCTTTATTCGGATTTAATTTTCAGTCGGTATGAACTTTTTTAAGATTGAATTCATTTCATTTATAGGTGATAGCAGATATGGTGGTGGGACTAGCCAGTCTGGAGAACGATCTGATATCAGGAATGATAATTTTGGCCGTACCGATTATGATAGATCAAATAGAAGTAGTATTAGTCGCGGCAGAGGTCATGGTCAAGATGTTGAGCTCGCTGCACATTCTAGTGGTTAACTTAATTTATAATTTTTTCTTAGACATTCATCAAATATGATGTCATTCTACAATTTCATAAGAGTTTTAAGCAATCCGTTTTATTCCAGCACCTGGAAGGCCTCATTTGAACTTGAAACCGCGCACTACTGACCCAGAAGAATTGGAAAGACTGAAGAAAATTGAAGAAGAAGAGACAAGAAAACGTCAGGCACGTATTTTTGGAGTGAAGGAATAGTTTGTTTCAGATTGCTGGATTTTCTATTTATTATATTTTGTAAGAGTATATTGCAAGCTTGTTAATGAAAGACAGTAGTATTCGCTGTCTATATTTGTACTTTTTTTTTTTTGTTGAAAAATGTCTTCGTAGTTTTGTACGTAATCCATTACTATTAACTTATTTTTCATGATTTTTCGTTGTTAATGATATTATAGAAAAGATCAGTGTTAATTGTCTATCTGCTCTGAAAAGTGTAAAGTTTACCGGGTTTCCAAATAAAAGTCATCGGATGAGATAAATTTGCATTTTTGGTTAGGAAAGATAAAAATAATGAGATCATGACGAGAAAATCATGAAATTGGATTCTTTTAATTTTTTTTTTTTTTTTGCTTGGTTAATTTTCAGTTTCTATTTTAAAGCCCAGTTTTACCATTGTTGTAATAAATAATATTATCTGCTTAAATGCGTTGCTCATATTACCACTAGAAATTTTGTTCGTTATTTTTGGAATTCCTCTCTTTATTGCTCCATCGACTTCATTGGTATTTTTCTTTTTTGATTGAAAAGGATTGCTATTGTTTTAGCAACATTTCACCCTTTCATATATTTTCCTAAATGATAGGAATGAGATTTCAGAAGTTTTTCCTTTCGAACATTTGTTTCAGTTATTTTCTTTCTCTACTCGAATTTTCAGGGTTTTAATTTATGAAAAGCGGTTCTCTTTTTTTGCCTTTTCGTTGTTTAATTTTTCTTGTTTTTCTCACAACTCTTTCTTGGAGTATTTACTGTTTCATAACATGCTTATCTTTTACTCAACATTAGCTATGAGAGGATTCACAATGTTGTGAGGTTTTTATTTGTTTTTAATGGATAAATTAAAGTTGGAAAGTTTGGATCTCTTATTATCTGTTTTTTGAATAATTAGTAATAGACGATTTTTACTACTTTTATGCAAAATTCTAAAAATTTAGTGAGCTCAAAATCATCGACGTTGGTCATATTTGGCCACCTATTTGTTGCAAACTTAACATTCCGATTTTTCTTAAACCTTAAATTACTTTTTCACTTAGAAATACTGGAAATCGTTTTATTGCCCCAACGAATGTTTTCTTTCCTTTTTTTCTTCACATGTTTCATGTGTTTCTATTTTAAATATTTTTGTTGATATATAAAAAAAAAAAGCTGCGGTTCATTTTTTGTTTTTTTGGGATACCTTTGTCTTAGACCATCTATCTATGAGGGAACTTTATTTCCATAAACTCGCTGAATCGGACTGAAGTTACTATTAGCTTCTTTCGGGTTGAGCTAAAGTTATTCGCAATGATTGAAAATACTTTTAGTGAAAAAATTTGATATGGAAGAATGTTTAATTTTTCAAATATTCCTGCGACATCATTTGTCTGGAACTGTTGACTATGACTTTAGTTTTTTATAATTGCAAAAGTATCAGAATGATTTTATCCATTACTTAATACTTTATCTTCTTTTTGTAAAAAGGAAATGTGCATAATTGCACTATACTCGAAAGGAATTGAAATGAAATTTTAATAGTTCGGAAAAGAATTGAGGGGAGTTTTTCTCTATATTTTTTCTTTTCAACCTTAAAAATATTAGTTATTGTCATTTGTTTTACACATACAATTTCAAATTTTCAACTAAATTAGTGTAATAATCGGTTAATAACTGTAACGACGATGAATAATTACTGGGTTTGTGAGAGAAGAATATATTAATGATACATGACAGAGTTTTCTCTCTTTTTTTGTCTTTCTTTTCCTCTTCGTTTTTCTCTTTAATTTTTCCTACTTTGTTTCTCCTCATCTCAGTCATCAGTCAGTTTACTTTGTTGCCATTTATTTTATCAAAAACGCCTTTTTGCTTTGATCTTAATTCATCATGATAGATTATCAAAGCTTTCACTGGTATTAATTTTAATTTTCAAACATTTATTATAGTTTGATAAGATATACATACAAGTAATGATGAATGTAGTTGTGTTATGATGGTGATAGTTTAATAGTTTAGAAAGAATCTTTATTAATCCAAATACTTTTGTTGTTATCCTAAATTAGTGGATAATTAATAAAGTTAGTTCAAATTGCACTTTTTTTTTTGTTTCGTACTGGAATAAATACCTTCATATTACATGTTATTTTGATGGTTGTTTATTGCTTTTTTTCTTGTGAATAACTTATTGTTTGCTATTTTGTTTATATTTTTTATAGAGTACGAAGACACTTAGACAAAAAACAATTGTGAGCTAATCTGCTATTTGAGTTCAAACTGAATGATAAAGCAGAAAAGGCAATTTTCAGTATTTTCCGAGAAGGTGTTGGAGAAACGTCATACTGTCAACCGAAGCTGTCGAGATCAGTTGAAATGAATCACAAATGCTGACTTTCCGCGCATACAAGAATTTAATGCTGGTACTCTGATATTGCAAGCAAACTAGACAGGTGAAAAAGATTAATAAATGGGTGACTATGGACTGCGAAGTGTGACAAATCTAAAATACTTCTCAAAATCGAACTTAACCAAAAAAGTCACTGTTACTGCTTATTAATTTGCTACATTATAATTTTCTGAATCAGACAAAGACGTTACTCTGATGGTACACTCTCCGGATCAATCAGAGCATCTGTCAACAGGAAGAGTAATCTATCACGATACATTTTTATAATACAATCAGCGCTTCAACAAGTGTAGAGAAGTGGACAGCAACATCTGTCACATTTGGTTGACCTTTCATTAACTGATTACTGCTCGACAACTTTTCTTCTACAATTATTAGGAGAAAAAAATATTTCCCGGAAGTTCGTCGATTCCCAAGGCGTGGATATCTATTTTATAAGAATAAAAAAGTTTATTTTTTCCTGTCATAGTTCTTAATTTGACAAATATTTGTCGAATTCCATCTATAATGGCTTGAAATTCACAGTGTTAAAGCGCAATTACCAATTTAATAAAATAATTAGGCAAGCGATTGATTTTGCAATTCTCTTCCAAAAATTCAATTATGTATCATGCTATCAAAGGTTTTCTGTCTTCCTTTGCAATATTCAAATATTTCATTTTAATTGAATCTAAGTTATGTGATAAGCTTAATGCTGATTGATGCATTTGATATAATATATACAGATATTCTTGCATGAAATGTCTTGGGAATGCAGGAGGGAAAAGTGGAAACGTTGATGTTTTAAGCGTTTTAAAATTTATCCTTACATTTATAATGGATCCATTTTGCAGTTGCTCAAAGCTACTGGTAACATGAATGCAACGATACAACAAAAATTGGAAATCGCGTTGAAGCCATCTCATTTGGTAGATTACATCTAATTGGTGTAATTTATATCTGTCTTGTAATTTAGAGGATTTAAAATGTATTGGTGGAAATTTTCGGTTGTGATGGGATATTGGATATATTTATATAATATCTTTATAAACTTCTTGGATTTTATTATATGTAACACAAACAATACTTAGGCCAACATTGTTGTATATCATATTAATATTTGGATGGCATTAAGAGTAACTGAAGGAATTGAAAGTTGTTGACATTAGTTTCTTTTCCTAATTATAATTATGTTAGGTAATATAAGTTATAAGGAGTCAATTCATAAATTCTTTTGCAGGATATCGAAGATTTCAGCGATGGATGTGGATTGAAATTTCGTTTGATTATTGTTTCCGATAGTTTTGACAACAAAACAACTCTGGCATCTCATCGGTGGTTACAAACATTTTTCTTAATGGTTTAAGATTAAGCTGTTGTATGGTTCATTATTTTCTGACAACTTATTAAGCATTAAAATTCTAGCATATATATATAGTGGTTCCGTACAAATTATTAGAAAGAACTTAATATTGAAATTATTTAATATAGGTTTCACAATAGTTTTAGATTGGTTTATGAAGTTTTGAAGGAAGAAATGCAACTAATACATGCACTAGAAATCAAAACTTATACACCTGAGAAGTGGAATGCAATAGAAGAAAGTAAAGAAAAAGACGTAAGTTCGGTATAATTTCAGATTAAATTTAAAGATTTATAGTATCTTTCGGGATGATTTACAAGAGCAATTTTATCATCTTGTTTCCAGGATATGTTGAGAACTGAGAATGATAATTGACATCGATGGTCATTTCCAATTGGAAGCCTTTGCGGGTTTGCTAACATTAATGTGTATAGTTTGCTGGCTTTATATATGATGCAAGAATTGAATGCTTGAAGAAAAGATTTTTGTAATGATTAATGAAATGTAGCAAACCTTCTGCAATCTTTGTTATTATTATTGTTGTTATCTAAATATAACTACTGATGATTATAAATTATAGTTATGTTTGATAATGTCTTAATGATTTGTGCGAAGAATGTTTTTGTGTATGAAATAACTCGTCCGTTTCTCGAGTATTCTTTTCTGATATTTGAATTATTAGCTGTTATTATCCTGATTCGAGAAAATGACTTAATGAGTGGCATTTCAACCTTCGAAAATGTTCTTCAGATATGTCTAGTAATGTGAAAACTATTGCATTAATGGGTGGGTGGTTTTGATGCTACTATAACTTATTATTTCGAGTATTATTACATGCAGTGTGGGTGATTAGCATAGAATTAGAGTATGTATATGCTTTGAGAAATGGTTTTGTTTTGTCGCTTGTGGAGAATGTTCTGTCCAAAAATATTAATCAGTGTTATAGGATGTTTGTTTATCAGTTGTTGAAACTGACATCCGGTGGTTCTACTAGTGAAGATACTGAACAACAACAGAATGAAGAAATCAGTGAAAGACTTGCAACGGAATTCGCTTCTGCTTGCACTTATTTACCTATTGCAATTAGTGAAGGCCTAATTTCACGTGAAGATCAATTATATTTTTATGCTCGATATAAGCTTGTCACATACGGAAAAGCTGGTTTGTTTTCTAGATTGTGTTGAGACGTTCCGGATTCGTCTGAAATATTTAAAAATTTTTTCATTGTTGTGTAAAGTATGAATCAAATATATTGTTTAGTGGGATGTTTCTTACGAGGTGTATAAGAAGAGATTCAGATATTGTTTTTTTTTTTTTTTTTTTTTTTTTTGTGGTTTTGAAGCTTCCTATGCTTCTAGTCTTAAGTTAATTTGGTGGATTGTGCACTTTCTGGGCATCATTCGTTTGGTTCTGAATTTTTTACTTTACAAATTGTTCCTCAGGATAACAAGGCCACCAATATTCCAGGGAATATAAGAAAAAATTATGGTAGATAGTATTACTTACATCTAAACATTAAACATATGCAACCTACTCATCAATTTTTTATTACATGTTTACTTTAATGCTATCATAACAGATCCCAGTAGGAGGCCCAGAATATACGATATTGCTAGTCGTGAGAAATTCGATGCTTGGTTAGCATTGAGTAACATGTCAACGGCGGAAGCTATGAGGCAGTATGTTTCGAGGCTAGTCGAACTTAATCTTGGTTGGGATGCAAGCCAAACCTATCGTATTCGTTATGGTGTTAGACCGAGTACAATGGTGGACGCTGAATCTACCGAAGTAAAGTTTTTTTTTTTTCATTTGTCATGGATTTGGATATATAAATGGAGACATGATTATTTTGTGAAAGACATTGTTTTTATCTTATACTGTGGTGGTAATGCTAGAGTTTATATTAGTTGAACTTACCTGTCAAATTTTGAAATTTATTAACTCTTAACTTGTGTATTGCTGATCACGCTTATCAGTTTCGGCAGAATTGATATTTCCATTTCGAAGTGTTGTAGCTTTTTGCTGCTTTATAGACTGAATCATCTGGCATGAGTTTGGAGCAGATAGAATGGTTTGCTGCTTTAGATGAAGGCAATGTCAAGAAGCTGAAAGATCTTCTAGTCAGCAATCTAGCACTTCTAGAAGAAAGAAATGAGAATCAAGTAACAATATTCACTCGTTTTGCAAAATGTCGATTATATTTGATCCTAAATAAGTCTCTGATTTTATCAAGAATAGGTTTTTGTTACGACAGATTTTGCAGAATAATCACTTTGAATCATTCATACATATAATTGATTTTTTTGGTGCGATTATCCCATCACCCATGCTTATAACTTTTAGACATTAAGATGAATCACTTATTATTTTTTTTTTTCAGCTAACTGCATTGCACTGGGCTTCTGACCGTGGAAAATTAGAACTTGTTGAGTTCCTCGTCGATGCTGGGGCTGATGTTAATATTCAAGATTATGGTGGACAAACGCCTTTGCATTACGGTTATTATTTTAATAGTAGGAAGAGTTAGAATTCCAGGATATCCTACAGAAAGAAGGATGGAGGCAAGTTTTCTCTGATAACGAAATTTCAGGTTTAGTCTCGAAGGGTAATTATCCTTTCTATAAGATAAAAATAACTAGTGCCTTGGACCATGCTTCTCGTAAGTCAAATCGTGTACTTTAAATCTTTCAATACTATTAAGTCAAACTATTACAGCCGTTTCATGTTCTCATCGGTCTGTAACCGATTTTTTGCTCAAAAATGGTGCTGATCCAGCAGTGGCTGACTTCGAAGGAAACTGTCCGTTAGATATCGTCAGCGATGCAGTTATCAGGAAGATGTTGGAAGATGCTGTTCCGGAGAGAGAAACGAAGCCGTGAAAGTAAAGAATTTTTCATTATCACTGTTGGGAAACATTTAATACGGGCTTCTAGAATAACGAATTGCTGTGGACTTATTTTTTTTTATATCAAAAATCCCTCCTTATTGTGTTAAGAATTATCACGGTGTATGTTTCTTCATTATATAACAACAGACTCCTGACTGAAAACTTGTCTTCAACTTTCAACTTTAATGTTTTCGAGATACGACATTGCTATTGACGAGATAACGCAAATGTCGAAGTAGCTTCCCTAATCTGACTTATTTAAATTTGAGAAAACTGAATAGAGTTGTGATGTCTACGGTGGAATCGTTCTGAATTAAATTCGAGCTTCTGAACACTTTGTTGAATCAAATGTATTCATAACTTCGATTTCTGCATTGGATTACTTTTCCACCTTACATATAAATTTCTGCTATTGTTTTATTTTTTGGACTAACAAAAGTTTACGTCATATGTGTTACTGGATGCGATATTTTGCATATTATGCGCTTATGAATCTTCTTACTAAAGTTCTTTATATTAGAATTCATATATCTTATTAAAGTTCCTTAATTAAAATTTGAATTATTCAATACAATTCGAAGAGATCTTAAAAATTAAATAAGGGATGAATTCTCATGGCACAGATTTGCATCGGAACACTGTAAATTTCCGAATCACGGTGCAGTGGTGAGAATTTCACGTATTCTGAATGATAGAAAAGGTTACTCGGAATCCGAAATTTGACAGGACATAGTCAAGGAATGAACCATAGCCAGAATCGATAAATTATGCTTCTCCATAGGATTTTTACCAGTGTGAAGATAAAATTATTAAGAATAATGGCTGTAATCTATATGGTTTCGATCCAAGATTAGCTCCAAACATTCATGTGGAAAGAATACGTTATGACGCAGTTACTATTCAAAAATATAGCTAATATCTAGATATCCAAACTATCTTAATATAAGCTCTGTAAAGAAAACAACATGAATGTAATGGGAATTTAGGAACATTTAAATCTGTGAAACAAATAAAGAGATAACAAAACCAAGTTAGTCCTATACTATGCAACTACAGTTCATACGTCTATACGTAAGAGTATAACAAATGGTATTTACTTGATAAGAACATGCAAAGAAAACATAAATGAAATAGGAAAATTTAGCAACAGATTTAAACATATGCAACAAATGAACAGATGTCAAGACTGACTTGTCCCATACAACTATAGTAAACCAGTGAGACCGGTGAAGTAGCAATAACACTTTCCAATTTATATAACGACTACCGGGTAATTTTATCATGAGTTCAAAAAATAAATTATCGATATACAAAACCTCTTTTATTAATGAAACAAGAAGCTATACGGATATCCCTGATATTTACTTCGAAATATGGAAAGCAGTAAGCTAAAGAATATTACCACTAATCCAAGACCAACAAATACCATAACTGAAAATTTCAAAAATTACTTTAATAAGGATTAATTTAAGGCACACATGAATGCCTCAAATCTTCAAATATTTTAATTAAATCAAAACTCACTCCGCCGTCGTCCAGAATCACCTTTGCCGTCTGCTGCATCATTCATCAGAATGAAACCCGCCGCTATCGCAGCATATAATATCGCAACCAAATACGTTTCTGCCACCAGCTGTATTTTATAATGATTTAATAAAAGTACAAAACATGTGAAATGGACATAAGAATCCTATATAAATGTTTTCTTATAAATATTAACTTATTAACTTCATCTTAATATTTCAATTTTCATTTCTCTTTTTGTTCACTTAATATTTCTTTCTTATGAGTGAGAAATATTCATAATGCTAATGTAAGATAATCTTCTACTCTTCTCCTCTTCTTATCCTTGTCCTTAAGTATTAGCGGAAATTTTAGCAAAGATTATAGCACTGGAAATAACCTCTTTAATTACCTTTCCAGAATAATTTAAATCCAGAAATATACGGGGAGCATACCTGATACTGAGTGGAACCATGGATGAAACTTGTTTCACGAGTGTGCGAATTAGTCATAACAAATGGAGGTCCATGAATATGATTCCACATCTGTCCGCTCATGAACGCAAATACAATGCAGAGACAAATTAACGCCCAACTTGTACGATTGTATAAGAAGTCGAGATTATTTCTGCGCATATATAATAATCCTAACACAAGCATTGCTAATAATAAAATAACCGCTGGTGCTGCGTAGTTCGGTGGACGAAGAATACGAATCTAAAAAGTTTTTTTTAGCCGAAGAACGAAGAATCTAAAAAGGTCATGAGCTATGAAACCTGAACAACATCGCAATTTTCCTTCTTTTACCAAAATATTCGTCAAAAATTTCAATTAGAGGTTATAATATTTAGGAAGACTTTTCTAATTATTTTTTCAGAAATAGAAAAAAGGATATTGAGTAGAACGAAGGAGAAATCTGTTTCGTGATTCGTCGTAACCAACAAAAAATAGTAAAAAATATCTATACGAATGCAATTTGAAAAACAAACTTGTATATCTGTTCGTTCAAAGACAAATTTTGCCATACTGTCAGCGTCAAAACCTTGCCGTTCAAAATCCATTTGATCAGTTCTTTTTTTGGTACCCTTTGACGGAAAATGTAAAAGTACTGGAGCAACATTAAGATTCATTTGCTGGAAGATTTCCGGAGATTCATTATAATCAATAATTGCGAAATAAAGAGCTTTCAGTTCAGGATATGCGTAACGATACGAATTAGCCAGTATATAAAATTCATCATATGCGGATCTAGAATGGTACAAAGTTTACTTGGCATGTAATTTCGGAAATTTGTTTGAAACTCTAGCAACACCGAATAAAAACATCCGGAAATATTCCAAAACATTCTTCTAAAATATTAAATAGAGTGTTAGAATCTCTTACTCGTCAAATGCTGAAAAGCTCACTTGCATATTGCACAATTAACATTTGGAGAAAGCGCCGTAAACATCACAACCATAGAGTAATTACGTGGCGCACTTCGTACGTATGTCTTCCATCGGTCCGCATTTAAATTAATAAGCGGTCTTCTGTACATCCAGTCCTGCAAACGAAAGAACCAGCAACTCTTCAGCTTTCTGAATACACTATTCTTCTATTTCCCTCAGTGGAAAAAATATTTGCCAACGAACCTGCAAATTTTTGACTTTTTCATCCAGATATATTCCTTTCTGACTGTAGGTCATTCCCAGAATAGCAAGAAATACCACTGATCGCATAGTCGACACACCGACTTCTATCAACATTCATAAAATAACCCACCCGTCCTAAAATACATTACAAATCACCGTTATTACGATATTTTAAAATGCTTCAAAGCCTAACAACGTTGACATATACTGCATTTTGTATTATTAAATCCCATAAAAACTGCAATGTGCCACTAGCTTGGTCCCAAACTAGAAATAAATTTCCGACCGCAAGAAGGCATCAGGCAAGCCAATTGTACCACTTCAGAAATGTCTTTAGAAACACAAAACGCAAAATATTTTTTGTTTATTGAAGCTGAAGGTACAGCTATACATAAGTCATAAAAATAATGATGTGATTTCAACCAGTTTATTCATTTTATCGAAAAAAAACAGCACGATAAAAGTCCAAATGATTTAGAGAGACTTTAATGACAATAAATATGCATACTCATTTCTACAAATAATTTATAAATTTTGGAAAAATTTAAAAGTATGATCTCGGAAAGCAACATTCCTCCGTATAAGGTATTTTGAATCTTTAACGATTTTGCAAGCATGTAAATGACATCTCTCGAAATAATAGTAATTCAGTTCTTTCATCCTATCACTTCAAAGTTCTTCACTTTTATTTGAACATCAAATACATTAATACAATACCGAAATAAGAAAGAGAGCTCAATTTATTTATACTTACAAGGAAAAAAAAAACCGAAAAACTGCGATTTTATTACTTTTTGGTGGTACCAAATCCACCAAACCCCATAGCTGCAGCAATCTCTTCATCAATTTGTACTTCAGGATATTTCCGCTTTTTCTGTCCCAAGCGCTTAGATTTCTTATAATCAGCCATACGGGCCTTAAAGAGCAACTGTAGTAAAGAAGCTCGCAAACTTATGAAATATTAAATGTTCACTTCCTCATATGCTCTGCAGGCATTTCTTGTATAAACCAGAGAAAATAACATTTTCGAACAAATCTGAATTAAACTCACGTACCTCTTCCTCTTTTAAATCATCCAGTCTGCTATGCATATCATCTTCCTTTTTTTGCATTTCTTCTGAAATTAAGAAAAAAAAAAAAGAAATTTAGCAATTCTTCAGTCTCTAATCTCAACAGCTCTTTTTTTTTCCAACAAAATTTAATCTTTTACAAAGTTTTCATAAAATAAATGAGCATATCAGTTCTATAAGGCATTCTTACTTTGAGCTTTTTTGAAAGCAAATCGCTGTCGTACTTCATCCAATGTACTTCGTTTTATCTTCATACTCATACCCATGTTACGTTGATGATTCTTCCCGTTAATATGATCCAGAAAATTGATAGAATCTTTAACAACACAATCACAAACATCACAGTAGTATCCACCAGTTTCAGCTGATGGTGTTGTTTTATTGATAACCACTGTACGACCCACTTTCGATTCCAAATCAACCTTAAACACTGTTTAAATAAAAAACTTGCAGTATAAAAAGTTGGCGAATGCAAAAAATCAAGTAGAATAAATGATTGTACATAAGCCAGATAACAAAATAATCCTTACTACTAAATTTCTGGATTTGAAAAGGTCAAACTGAAAGTTAAATATGCCAAAGTCTTAACCTTGTACTCTCGAGCTTTCAACAATTCCCGTTTCACTTTCGGCTCGTCCGGGAATCGTGGCAACTTACGCTTCCCTTTTGTTTCTTCGTCTTTTTCTGCCAATAGCCGTTCTTGCGCTTTTCGTTCATATTCCTCCCGATCCCATTTCCGCCGATGATCTACGTCTGTCGAACTTGTAGGATCATAAACTGACATTCTCACTAAACCAAAGAAATAAAAAGAAATATTTAGCCTCTATTTACACAAACAAATAAATACGTCATAAGCAAATGCGTAATATAAAAAATTATCATTTTAGTTTTTATTGACATGAAATAATTCACATCAAATCCTAAGCAAAATCGCGCTTGTAAACGATGTTCTTGACTTAATATGTTCTCACTGAAATATATGTCACTTACGGCTGGGATAGCTTCATAAAGTTCGACTATGCGAAACACATTATAATGGTTAGATTAAATTTTGTAAAGTTACTTATAACGTGAAATATACACTATTATAAGTCACATTAAAACGTGTTCACTAATGGAACCACGTCAGCAACCTGTCACTTACACGTGTAAAACAAACGACTGTCACATTTGCTATAAAATTTTCTAACTCTTCTTCGTTTTCCGGTGGTAGTAAATTGGAGTTGTTTACTTGGAGTCTATGAGAGAATTTGTTTTCTTTTAGCATTAAAATAAGACAGTTGAAAGTAAATTGATAGTAAGTTGGAGTTAAATGACAGAGATCGAAAGTAGTATTTAAGTAAGTAAGTGTGAATTATAGATCAGTAATTGTTTAGTAATGCTTAATGTCAGGTTAAAAATTAGTTTAAGAGGAATATGAGCTAATTAAATAGAAATTAGTTTAAAAGAAGTATGAGCCAATTAAAAAAAATAGCTTATAAGAAGTATGAGCCAATTAAATAAAAATTAGTTTAAGAGAAGTATAAGCTAAAGTAAATTTTACCATTATGAATGTAACAATCTTACTTCATTTCAAATCCAATTATAATTGAAAGTGAAACAACAACTTAATATTATTATTAACATGCAAGCATGCAAGTAAAAATTTAATTACAAATAAAATATGAGCAACAAGTAACAAGTAGGAATAAGGCATACTTACTGTTTACTTTTTCTTTCATTTGTTGTTGTTGTTTTTTTTTTTTTTTTTTTTTTTTCACTTTCTTTACAATTTGTCATTTTTGATATATTTTTTCACGTAGTAGCAAAAAGTACTAATTTCAAAAGTTGTGAAAACATTTACTACCTCAGATATCTGTTTGCTATCGATGGTTCCTGTTGTAATATGAATCTCGTAATCTCTCTCTCTCTCTCTCTCTCTCTCTCTCTCTCTCTCCTCTCTTCAACAGTTGCTTCTGGCTAACATAGTTTAGATATGTTAGCTTCTCCACTTCTTATTGTTGTTTCGTTGTTGTGATAATGCTGATTAGTCCTTATTATATTTATACATTACAATTTCAATTCTATTCTGATTTTAAATTATTTCATATATTTTCAATTTAATAATAGAGAATACTATTGCAAACGCAGAAAACACTAAATGTAAGACTTTTATTCCAATGCTCAAATATATGAGTTATTGATTTTTAACACGTACATTTTATTTGTTGAATTCGAGTGTAATATGTTTATTATTCAATTATTTGTTTATTATTCATTTAAATTCAAGAAGTTGTATTCCATGATAAGAAAGCATTAACAATTTTCATCGGGAAAGCTTTATGAGATTATTGAAAATTATCAAATTTTATCTTTTTATGATAATATATATCTAAATATATCAGTTAATAAGTTATTGTTTTAATTATTGTGATTCATTTTATCCATGTTGGTTTATTGACTGATGAAAATGTTTAGTTTTATCACATAATTTTTGCGTATTTTTCTGAATTTCAAATACAGCAAAATGCCGATAAGTAAGGCAGATCGAAATCGAGATGAGGCAAGTGCTGAAATAGAACACATCGATCGTGGAATACACTCATTCCAGGAAATTTCTCACATATGTTAGTTTATTTTTTCTCTTGTCAAAATTTTTGTCGTTTCATTTTTATGCGTAGTTCATTTATTGTTACTTTATTACTTCCTCACCCATTAATACCATATTGTATAACTAATTATTATAACGTAATACATTCTCGATATCTTTTTGTTTATCTTGAGAATCACAATTATATGATAAAGCATTTAAATTCTTCAGTTGATCTATTTGATAGCAATACTGATATTAATATTTAATGTATGAATTGATTGAATCCGACGCATTCTAAAAAAATTGCTCATGTTTTGGTTACTTTTAATTAAAATATTAGAGCTCTGCATTTCATTAAATTGAAGTATTTACTTCATTCCATGACTTGTTATGCAATATGTCATAGTCTTCTAAAATTTCGTTGGCTAAGTTTACTGTTAAGCTGTTCTCTATTTAATCATTGAATAGATTTTGTGAAGAATTTCGTATATTTCAATATAATGATGGATGTTTTGTATAATTTTTTTTTGTTTCAGTCAACAATTTGGCGTTAAGAAGGTTGATTTTGAGTCACAACAAAATTTCATCCGTCCCATCAAATATTGCGGATTTAGTCAATTTAGAGGTATACTGTTGAATTTTCAGAAATTTTAGTTTTGTCAAAAAATATAACTTTATTGTCAAATTACTGGCAAAGAATAGCTTAATATATATCATTGTATACCACTGATATATTTTTTTAGAGTTTGAATTTGTGGAACAATCAGATCGAAGACTTGCCGACATCAATATCATCGTTGAATAAATTGCGAATCCTCAACTTAGGGTTTTGTTTTATTTTACCTCATTTTAATTAATTGAAATTATTGGATCATTAACATGATGTTCAGGATGTTCAGACTAATATTAAAAACTCTACATAAATATTACAATTACAGGCCTCCAAAAGAAGAGCTATACTAATGTCTTCGTTCGACCATTTAGTTTAATTTCTTTTCTGATTAGATGATTGATAAATTTGTTTAGAGTAAAATTTTAGAATGAACCGACTGAATATATTGCCAAGAGGTTTCGGGTCATTCCAGGCATTGGAAATATTGGACTTAACTTATAATAATTTGAATGAGCGCAGTTTACCGGGGAATTTCTTTTTTATGCGTTAGTTCATTTCTGTGCTTATTTTATTTATAATTTCAGTGCCTCATAGTTATACCAGTGGTTTACCAATAGTTTTAAAATTTCATTTCTTTATTTTAATTGTTAAACTTCAGATTTTTCATTCAAATAAGATTTCTTAATTTTCTAACCTATCAGTAAAGTCACTTCGATATCATTTCATCGACTCAACCACCTGAATTATAACTATAAAACTGGAGCAAGCATACCTCTCTTCAAAGATATTTCTCTTTCTTAATCATATTTCATACCCATACTTTTATTGTTAAGTTCTTGTGATAGTTTCGCTGGTTAACAAATTTGACTCGTTTTTCCCTTGGTTAGTATCAACTATTTTTAATGGTAGGCATTATAGTCGATTTACTTATTTGCTTAAATTATGGATTGTTTATTATAGCGTAGAACTGATTTTTTAATGGCAAAAATAGAACCGATCATACATTGAATAACTGAACTTAGCTTTGAATGGAATGCTGATTGCAAATTGATCTGCTTTTCTTGGTTTTTTTTTTTTTTTAATTTTATTTTTTCCACTGTAGTATTCTTTTATTTCTAGCAACGTTACGTGCCCTGTATTTGGGTGACAATGATTTTGAATATTTACCCGCTGATATTGAAAATCTTTCAAGTTTACAAGTTTTGGTATTGCGTGAAAATGATTTACTTGCATTACCGAAAGAAATTGGTAAACTTTATCGTTTAAAAGAACTTCATATTCAGGTACCAACATTCATTTATATTACTAAATCGATATTTTGATATGGTTATTATTATGTAAGAAAACGATCGATAAAAAATTCCGAGTTTTTATCTTACTCATATTCATTTATCGAATTTTCACTATCTAATTGAAATTAGATATTGTATAAAAAGTAGTAAAATTCTACAGTGTATTTTTCTCTTCAAGGGGAATCGTTTGACCGTTTTACCACCGGAAATTGCTGGATTGGATCTTGTCGGTCCGAAACGAGTTCTACGACTTGAGAATAATCCTTGGGTACAATCATTAGCAGAACCATTAGCAAAAGGTGTGTATATTTCGTGAAATTAACTCCACTTTATTATAAGATAAGAATGATATGTATAGTAGCATTAAACTGAATAACTTACTCTATTAGTACTCTGAAAATAAAATCTTCTGATAAACTGCAAGTAGAACAGAAAATAATAATAGAATAGGAAAGTAAAGCAGGAAAAAATAATAACTGGCATATGAAAATTTAGTTATAAAAGTTTGTTCATTAAGATTATTCTCAATACTGGTGTGTAATCTTTGCAGGTCCACTTGCTTTAATGGAATGTCTCCGATCGGATTCGTATAAATATCAATATGGACGCCAGGAATCGGGAACTGGTGTAGCACCACCGAAAGCTCGAAATAAGGATAAAAAGATTAGTAGGCAAAAGGTGAAACAAGGATGTTAAGATGTTTCGAGTTTAAATGCTTGCCGTAAAGCATAGACATTTTTTAGATATATACCAATGGTACTTTTTGGAAAAATAGTTTTTTGATTCTTTAAATTGTACCACTCGGTATATGCTGGCTTTTTAAAAGAAAATTTCATCATTGTAATTTTTGTGTTTAAGAAGCAAACTTCTTGAAGTAAGAAAGAATAAGCATGATTTTGCATTACAACATGTGATATCACTCGTTAAGTCAATCTCTGTCATAAAGCTCTTAAAAAATAACTGCCAAGAATTGTCGAAAAAAAAGTCTTTTACTTCATTATAAAATATTTTGTACTTTTATTTTATTTGATGCCTTTTTGCAATTTCATTATCTTGTGTTATGCAGTTAAGCAGCAGTATATAACATATGTAATAATTCTAATAATTGTAATTTTTGCGATTTGAAAACTGCAAATACTTTCATACTTTTTGTGATTATTTCTTCTTTGAAGAAGAAAACAAAAAATTAATCCATCCATATCATTCATCATTCTTCTAATTCATATATGCTCTTGTATTTGAAATAAACATTTCGAAAAACAAATCATTTACTGTACTGTGATTTAACCGTCCAGAAAAAATTTTCTGCAAATCGATTATATATAACTTAGTTATTAAAGATTTTCTGATATTATTAACTAATTGTAGAGGTTGTGCATTCAGGAAATTGATGTTTGTATTGAAATTAAAACTGAAATTTGTGTCATGAATGGATGTGGTCCATCTAAAATAAAGAGAAAAAAACCAAAGAGCGGTGGGTTTTTGTTGACAAAGTGTCCAGAAGCTATTCTTTGACTTTGAACTTTAACAAAGTTGCTTTAATTATATTCTTTAACTAAAAAAGAAGAGGATGCGAAGTTTGAAATAACTTTTACAGGATGAAACTGCAACTATTATACTCACATTTCTAGCCTTTAGTAGTATCTGAATGGGTGTGTAAAAATTTGCTTCCTCGAAAAATATTCATTTTAAGTTTCATAAAAACTGGAATTTAAAATTTTTCGAAAATTAACTGTTAAATTCATCGGAATTAAAAACGCATGAATTTATTCAGAAATATTTGAGTAAAGAATTGTTAAATGACTCTAACTTTTTTCCCTTTCTCATTGTTTTCTTTTCTTTTCTTTTCCAAATATTCTCTTTTAGTTTCGCAAGCGGAAAAAAGAATTAGAAAGATTTTTTTTTTTTTTTTTTCACTTCAATAACTTTTAATATTTTATAGTAAAAAGTGATTGTTGCTATAGATTTAATTGTGATGTAGTGTCATCTGTCAAATATATTCAAAAACAAGTTTTAATAATTTTGAAATGTAATCATATGACTCAATGAATCATTGAGTCATATGATTAATTAACTCTTGAAAGAATCATTGGACAAAAAAAAAGCTAAAATATTATTTCAAAAATATTATAGAGGAGAAAAACTTTAAATGAATTTTCATGTGAAATTATTCTCAAATAATTATTTATTTATTTGAAAATGTTCAAATGCATTTGTTTATATGGAAATGCATAGGAATAAATAATTAATGAGTGAAAAAAAAAAAGAAAAGAAATGAATAATTTGAAATTTGCTGAAATTTCTTTTCATCCTATTTCTTAAAGTTCCATTTCTCAATTGATATATAATTTTTAGTATGGAGAAAATTCCCTGAAGATATGAAATTGAACATAAAAATGCAACGAAGAATGAAACAAATGTTAATTAGTAGAATTTAAATTTAAAAAAAAAAAAAAAAACTGTGGAATAATTTATATAAGTTAAAAAGAAGAAACATACCGGAAATTGTGCCTTGATTAGGTAAATATTTCTGCTGTCAAGGTAATAAGTAATCAGTGAGCAATATAATATGACATTTACTTAATCATATAGTTAGTGTTAATAAATAATCTTATCAGCCGGAAAATAAGAGAATAAAGTAGCAAGGTTAAAGTGGTTTAGGTAAGTATGTAAATGGAATGAATTATTTGGATGAAAACAATACTTTGTAAAATGATGATAATATTGATAACAAGAGTAACTAATCAGTTAAAAATGTATCATTATTAATCAGATAAATACGATCGAAATAATATTAACCAGATATCAATTAGGAAATATAAACAAATTAAAATTGAGCAAATATAATTAAGATGATAGCAATTATGTAAATGTAATGAAAGTGATATCAGTCAAATAAATGATATCAAAGTGATATTTAATCAATAAATGTGATTAATGGAAAAATGAAGAAATATATATATGTGAATAAAAGAATTTACAACAAGAGTTGAGCAAGTTTCATCAACAACGAATATCAATGAAATTCAATTCAATGCATTTTCCTCTTTTTCTTAAATACATTTGCAATATTGTTTTTGTTTTGTTTTGTTTTGTTTACATATTCGTTTGTTGACAAAACTCAGCCAACTGCTTGCAAATTAAGAATAAATAAGCTATAGCCAATGAGATAAACGATCAGGTTGTCATGGCTTTGACTAAATTTAAAGAATGATTAAAGAAGAAAAAAGGAATGACAAAATAAAAAATAAAAAAAAAAAAAGAAGGAATTAAGAGATAAGAAAACAAAGAAGAGAGAGAAAGATAAAGAGAAAGGAGAAAATTTAATATTCTAGAAAATATAAAAATAGTTGTAATTATTTCCTCTATTTTTTCCTCTTTCTATTCTTATTTCTATTTTATCACATACATAAAAGTATTTTTAGTTTCTTTTTTTAATAAAAAAGAGGGAAAAAGAGAAATAATAAGTAAATGAGGAAATGATGGAAAAAGAAGAAAAGAAATAAAAAAAAGTTCAATTATTCTTTCTCTAAAATTACCGTATTAGATTCCAAATATAAAAAAAATTTTTAAAAAAATAAGAAAATTTTTATTTTACTCTCTCTCATCTCTTCTTCTTTTCTCTGGCTTCTCTCTTTTCGCTTTTATCCTTTTCCACTTTCTTTTTCTTTCTTCCAATTCTTTCGTTAACTTTCGAAATGAAAGCATTAAAAAGGCCTTTGCATTATACTACTCTTATTTTGTACTTATAAAAAAAAATTGGAGAGAAATTTTTTTCTTATTTCAATTTAAAAAAATTTTTACATTTTATTATTTACATCTCGAGAATGATAAATTGATAGTGTCAATCTATAACTTAAAAAAAGAAAACTTTTTTTAAATAGATTTTGCTTATTATCAATTTAAACTTTTGGAAAAAACTTGAAATTTTGATAGTTGAAGCTATATTTAACCTTTTTTTCGTCAAATTTTTAGTAAGTTAGAAGGAATTTTAAAAACAGAAATTTAATATTTTCGAAATTTTTTTTATTGCTTTTTCTGCGGTAATTGCTCATTTTTATTCAGTCCTTGAAAAGTTCCATTTGAAATTAATTATTCAATTCCAGTAGTTATCCATTTTATTTTTTGGTATTACATAATTATATTTCATCAACTTTTCTTTCCAAACCCTAAAAACAATATTTTCTTCCATTTTGAAAATTTCAAATCTCAAAGAATGTTTCTAAGTAAGCATTATCTAACACCAATAAACCATTATTTGTAAATCATACAACATTGATTATAGTAAAAACCAAATTATTAAAATTTTGGGAAAGAATTTGAAAACTTAAATACTCATTCTATGCATTCATCTTATCACGAGCATATCAAATGTTAGTAAGAAATGATTGTCGGAAAGTTTTCTCATTGCTAAAATTGAATTTAATAAACCGAAAAATAATAGTATTCTGATTTGAAATTGAAAAAATTTACAATGAAATGCAAAAAGGTTCAGCAAAGCATTTTTAAACTGTAAAATTTAAAATCAATCCAATGAATTAGTAAAAATATGCAGGAAGAGGAAGAAGAAATAAATAAATTAATACATTCGACATCTAAAAGTAAACAAAAACTAATTAAAAGAAATAAGTATGAATTTCAAACAAACTAATTTATCCATTCTTTCTCAATGAATTTTTAACTGAAACATTGCAATCACTTTTTTGGAGAAAAATTCAAATGCCTTCATAAGTTTGAAATGCTTTGATGAATAAAAATGGATAAATCACTGTGTCATTTTTCGTTTGCTTTTTTTCATTGAAAAGATTTAAAGAACGATGTAAATCAAACCGAGGAATCAGATCAATTGACGAGTAGATGAGATCATGAAATCGACATAGATCAATTTGAAAGATCAGACAGAATATGTGGAACTCAACGAGTAATATAGATTAGATTAATTATTTTATATTTCATAAATATATTTTGATGAAACAAAATGAATCATTGAATTACAATTTCGTATTTTTAAAACAAATAATTTTATTCATCATCAATGATAATCATTTGTTATTCGCAGTAATCATAATTTTGTTAAAATTTTCAAGATAAATATTTTAAATAACAAGTATCTTTAGTTTTATTATTTCAATTCAATGATCATAATTGGTAATGAATGTCTTTTCTGCCGAAATTTGGGCAAATTAATGCAACTTAGAAAGTAGTAACTTCAGCAAAAAGTAATTATAACTTAAAGATGTTTCGAGTTCACAGAATAATTTCAATATTTTAAATTCATCTATCAATGTTTCATATGATTATCTGTGATATCGATAGATATCATATGATATGACAGGATGAAATGTCGATGAGCGTGAAAACGATGACCTAATTTCAAAATGTAACCATTCAACTAATATCGAGAATGTACAGTTGTACAGTCATCAAAAGGGACTGAATATCTGGAATCAATTAACTTACTGAAATAAATTTGGTTATTTGATTAATTAAGAAACGAAAGTATAAAAACATATTATACTACCTACTAAATGATATCAGAAGTTAATCAGAAAATAAAAGTATCAATTAATTTATTCATAGTTCAAGTTTGATTGTCATTTTTCATTTATTGCATATAACATTCTCTTCGAAAGTTCTTCACATAATTTATTAAAAATTTTCTAATATTTTCATTGCTGTTGTCATTGTTGTTATTGTTTGTGTTGTTAGCTGTTGTTGCATGTTTATTTTCTTTTTTTATATTATTATTTTTGATGTTTGAATTGCTATTGTTGTTATTTGTTTACTGTTGCTTATACTTTTTTCATCGTTTGTTTGTTTTTCCTTTTTTGAACATTTCTCTAATAAAAAGTAACTCAAATTTACATAAACCTTCGCTTTGATACGTCGATGCCCAATTTCTTTCATTTCATTCATTATTATTAATAATATCGTAGTAAAAAAGGAATGAAAAATATTTTGTTTTCTTTTTTTTATCTCATTGACACTGCAAACTTAAATGACCATATTGTTCTGAAATTGTGGCATATCATTTTAACTGATTTGTTTGCAATTTTTTGGTATTTCTCGGGAGGATTGGAAATAAGAGGGGAAGGACCAGGGGAAAGGGATAAGAAACAAAGAGAATAAGAAATATGAAATTTGATAAGAGAAAAGAATAAAAAGATTAAAAGAAAACGGAAAAAAAACGGTGACAGATTGACAAAAACAAGAGGAAAAAAAGTATTAGACATGGAAACATTAATATTTTGTATATGAATAAATTAAATTGTAAATATTCCTCAATAAACTATCAACAATTCTTTTTTATCATTAAAACAATTTCCTTTTGATTGATAATAAGAGAAAAAAAGAGAAAGATATTACGATGGAAATGAGAAAAATTCGTTTTTTGTACTTTTGAATTTTACAATAATTTTTTATTACTTCAAACGAGATAATATAAAAATATATGCAAGTAAATAACAAATAAATAAGTAAATAAATAGATGGAAGATAGAAATATTAGTAAATAAGTGAGTAAACAAATAAATAAATGTATATTATGTATGGAAAAATAAACAAATTTGATATATAATATGATGCATGTTTATTGGATGATGTGAGCGCATTTGTTTATCGCTAAGATACGTAGGTTATGCGTGTAAGCGTGTGTGTATGTGGACAAGCACACACACACACACACACACACACACACACATACATACACATACACATACACACATGTATGTATGTGTGTATATGGGGTATCGTTGAAAGTGGGTGGGGAGGAAATTTGAATTCCCTGTTGTTATTGAGGGAGAGAGGGTCGATAGGGGTGGGAGTTGATTAGTAAATATTTGGTGGTGGCATATCACATCATTCAGGCCCTTTCTTTAATAGCAAAGCCATTGGTGCAGTAGCAGCAGCAGCGCTCGGAGACCCAAATGGTTCGTTTGCTTTCTATTTTTAATTTAGCTTAGTTTGGCCTAAGCCTAGTGGTATTGCTGCTGGCCTAGCTTGGCCTTTGGGTATATATATACACATTATTGATTTAAATTGATAAGGTTTAGTGTGTTAATCAGCATTGTAACAATTATTTTTTTGAAAAGAAAATGAGAAACAAATAAATTTATTAAAAGAAGAGAAATAGAAGGAGAAAAAGGGAGAGAGAGAGAGGAAAAGAAAGAAACGATTCAATATCTTCTCGAATGTTAATAAATGCTAAATTATGCTAAAGGCATATTGATTAATTCCTCTATTTCATTTGTAGTTACTATGGAGACTTTGTCATACTATGCGTCATTCCTTGTATTTGTAAATTGTTTATAACTAAAATAATTGTTATGGCAGAAAACATAAGAAAGAAGGAACAAAATTATTTTAAACGGATAAATTACAAAAATTTTCATTTATAGTTTTTTCAATTAAAGTATTTAACTTTTATAGCGTGAAGTAATTTCAATACATATTGGCCAAGCAGGCGTTCAAATTGGTAATGCTTGTTGGGAATTGTACTGCTTGGAACATGGCATTCAGGTCATCATTTAATGATAAAAATTTTAATTTCAATTTTTATTAGAGCGAAACAAACATTTTCCACTTTCTCTGTGAAGCAATTTAAAATGTAAAATTGTTTGAGATTGAATTTTAAAGCTATCATTAAGAATGAAATAACTTTGTTAATTAGCCCGATGGACAAATGCCATCGGATAAGAGTGTTGGTGGTGGTGATGATTCGTTTACAACATTCTTTTCGGAAACCGGATCAGGTAGACATGTTCCACGTGCGGTTATGATCGATCTAGAACCAACCGTTATTGGTTTGTTTTTTGTGCTTTATTCTTCATAAATTGGAAAGGCATTATCAAAATTATTATTATTGTTATTAATTTTTTATTTTAATTATTATTAATGTTGTTATTAATTTTTCATTTTAATTACAATTATTGTTATTAATTTTTTATTTTAATTACACAATTGCTTTTCTAAATATATCAATTTTATTTCTGAAGTTCCTAAATCTTTCATGAGAATAGCACTTCAAGTATAGCTTAATTGAAGAATAATTAATTATAGTTTTAGACAACGTTGGATTGAAACTGAATTACATTGAATAAAAAGATTTATTTTGAAAATAAAATGGATATTTTACAAAATTCCAACTTTTTTCTTTCCATTCCTTTTCATTCTTCAAATTTTCCTGTCTTTATCTTAAGAAATTTAATTGTTATCTCAGTCACAGTAAAATGTATTTTCCTTTCTATCTTTGCATGTGAATCCGTTCTCATCCACTCCACTGACAATCATTATTGCTGATTCAATTAATTCGTTTTAATTCATTGCTTCTTGTTGACACTTCTCAGTGACATCGTCCCCTGCTGAGCGAACATTTGAAGTGTCATCGGCTTTTTACTTCTGTCTGTCTGTCTGTCTCTTGTTTTTTCACCCTCCTTGGTGACACTTTTTGTTACTTCTTTGTTTCGTTTCGTTACAAATTTTTGAATATATTACAGTGTGAGAAAATGCTAAAAAATAATTACGAAAAATTTTCAAATTTTTAGATTGGTATGTGAAATTTTAAATGTAAAATTCTGTAATAAAAATAGGAACTTTGTGTCGTATTACTATTATTTGTATTATTACAAATATTATTACTATTAATAATATTGTTTGTATTATTATTACAAATAATAATAAAAAAAGATTAGAACTGGGATTAGAAATTTTTAAACTTTATGAGGACAGGCAGATATTTTAATTTAAATTAGAAAGAACGACACATGCATACAATCCATAGTAATATATAACTTATTTAGTTGTGTGAAAGTAAGTTTTTTTGTAAATCGTCGCCACTTTTCCGGTCCATCGCTTTTTCGATGGAATTATTCATAATTTGTGCTCACATCTTATCTCTCCTCCAAAATTATGTCTGACTATAAGTTTAATGGTCTCTGAAATGATATTTTGAATGATTACAAAATTTACTCTTTTTCTTTCTATTAAACCATAATATTTTAATAGTCCATTCCTATAAAATTTCTCTTTTATTTCTATCTCACATTTTTTACTATTAAATTTGAAGCATTTTTTTCAGGAAAAATTTCGTTTCATTTATTTTTTTTTTAATTTGTAAAAAATAATTCTTCCAAATTGGCTATTTTTCCGGTTTGCATTCGACAATTTGACTTCTTTTCTGTTTCTTTTTTGATGAAACGAAATTCTCAAATAGCTAATAAAAAAGTAAATTAAATTTATGGATTTTTATTTTTTGTTCTTGGAATTAAATTGCTACCATTATTATTCTTATTAACACATTTCTTTGCAACTGTTTGTGTGAGGCGACAAAATTATTTTATGGTTTAAAATTTTTTTGTATTCTTCTTTTGCTTATAATTTATTAAAAGGGATAATAAAAATGGAAAAAGAGAATGAGTTTGAAGAGAATTTTATCATTAATTAAAGAGAGAGAAAAAGAAGAAATTTAAAATTTTCATTCCTCAGTACTTTTTTTTAAATCAATGTTTTAAAAATTTAAAATAAATGATTGAGTTCCGTTGTAAAGCATTCTTTAGGGATTTTATTTTTCATTTAATTCTATTCGAAACTTACAGCAAGAAAGATTATATCAAATTTAGCTTTTAAAGTGGTTAAAAAGAATATTTCAAAAAAAAAAAAACTATCGAATTTTCAAATTATCGATTTTTCCTTTTGTTTGTTTCGTCCAACGTATCATCGACGACTTTAGAGCTTCTGTTAAGCTTAACTTCCATTTAATTCCATTGAGATTTGCATGCATATCCGTAATGGATAGATTCATTCGTGGAAGGAGTGATGTCAAGTATGATAGATTGCTAGCGATTAAATTTAAAATTTGAAGAATCAATAAAAAAAAAGGTGACGTCGAAAAGTGACAAATGCTTCTAAACTTTTAGGAATCAGGAAAATATTTCTAAATGTTGTACAAAAAACCAAAAAAAAAAATGTAAAACAAAAAAGAATCAACATGCGAGGGAAAGCAAGCAAAAAAGAAAAAGCGATTCTTTCTCTTTCTTGTGACTATAATTTTTTTAAAGAAATTTTGCAATTTTAAAAAATTCTCCTTATTTTAGACCTTTTCACAGTCGAAAAAAAGTAATAATTCATTCCAGTTGGTAAAAAACCTCAAAATTTTTTAAATTCTTAAAATTTCCTTCCAACAATGAAGTGATATTAAATAAATATTAAAAATAAATAAATAAATGAACTAACGATAATAAAAGAAAAAAAAAAAGGAAAGATATTAAATAAACTGATGTTAATGCATGGAAATAAATTAAGTAAATAGCTTGCAGTAAGTTGACATGTTTATTAGAATTCAATTCTTTTTGTTTCCATCAAAATTTATTAATTTCATGGAAGTAAGATTAACTTATATAATTAATCCAAAGTGATCTGTTCAGGTGAAATTGATCAAAATGAGAAAATTTGGCACAACTGTATTTCTTATCAGCAATGCATATGTTTGTGTGGATGAAATGATATTCATTTAAATGTTATGTTTCAAATTTCAGATTAATATTACTGATTAATCGGTTTTTAGATGAAATTCGAACCGGAACTTATCGTTCACTATTTCATCCCGAACAGTTAATCACCGGCAAAGAGGATGCAGCAAACAATTATGCTCGAGGTCATTATACGATCGGTAAAGAGATTATCGATCTTACATTGGATCGAATTCGACGCTTATCGGAAAACTGTACCGGATTACAAGGTTTGCATTTATTATCTTAATATTTTAAAATTTAATTAAACATTCATATTAAATTATTCTATTTTTCCTTCTCCCTCAGTTTTGTTTCTGAAAAGAGTGTTATAGTTTCTCTGTTTCAATTCCCACTATCGTTTTTGCAGGCTTTTTGGTTTTTCATTCATTTGGTGGTGGTACCGGTTCCGGTTTTACATCATTACTTATGGAACGCTTATCGGTTGATTATGGTAAAAAAGCTAAACTGGAATTTAGTGTTTATCCTGCACCGCAAGTATGCTAACATCATTACTTGAAAATACGAAAAAAAGAAACTTTTTTATAAAACTGAAAAGAAAAATCATTACATTGTAAATGGATTTATTTATTTTTCTACATGGTAATTTATTTGTTGAAATTCGCAATTGAATTTCAAATTCTTCGCTTTGAATTTTAGAAATTTTACATTTTCAATTAGAAAAATACATTTAAAATAACCATATTTGTTATCAGTTAACCAAAATTAGCAATTCTATTAGATTCCAACAATTGTTGCAGGTTTCTACAGCAGTGGTTGAACCATACAATTCAATCCTAACAACACATACCACCTTGGAACATTCCGATTGCTCCTTCATGGTTGACAATGAAGCCATTTATGATATTTGTCGCAGGTAAATTTATATTTCATCAAAGAAAAAAGATCTCTTCTTGATTTTTGTCATAATTTTATTATCTTTTCATTTAATAAATGGAATTTAACTTAGGTTTAATCTGACTGATACATAATTTTACAGAAATCTCGACATCGAGCGTCCATCATATACAAATTTGAATCGCTTAATTGGGCAAATTGTTTCATCCATTACAGCATCCTTACGTTTTGATGGTGCTTTGAATGTTGACCTTACCGAATTTCAGGTTTTCTCTTATTTCTTTTTTATTTTTGTGTAATTCGTAAAATTGAAATGTTTTCAAGTTTAATTCGTTCTGTTTTTCCGTTTCTTTCTCTTTACCACTTTTTTTTTTGAAAAAATTTTTTTATACAAAAGAGATTAGTATATTACTATAGACAAACCTCGTGCCATATCCACGAATTCATTTCCCTTTGGCAACATTTGCGCCTGTTATTTCTGCCGAAAAAGCCTACCATGAACAGTTATCAGTGTCAGAAATTACCAATATGTGCTTTGAACCACATAATCAAATGGTTAAGGTAAAAATTATGATAAACTTTTGGCTATCTTCTTTTCCAAATTTGATAAAATTAGACTAACAATGGTTAGATAGCTTTGAAAGTTCCCTAAATTAGTAAATTTTAGGGCTTATGGGGATGAATTTAATCTTACTCAGTGTTAGATTTAAGTTTAAAGTTAGTTTAATTTAATAGTTAATAATTAATTGAAACGATCGTAGTTTAGTGCGATCCACGACATGGCAAGTATATGGCGGTATGTTTGTTGTTCCGTGGCGATGTTGTACCAAAAGATGTGAATGCAGCAATTGCTACAATTAAAACGAAACGTAGCATACAATTTGTTGATTGGTGTCCAACAGGTTTTAAAGTTGGAATTAATTATCAGCCACCAACTGTTGTTCCAGGTGGTGACCTTGCGAAGGTAAACAGGAAACATTTCTCTTCCAAGCTTATTTCTCATTTTCTTTGCCACTTATCTTCTTTTCCGCTATTATTTGTCTTAATTTATATCAAATATGAATGTTAATTTTAACATATATAAACTCTAGTGATCATATTAGTGATAATTATAATTCATTATCAGGTACCACGAGCAGTGTGTATGTTATCAAATACGACAGCAATAGCTGAGGCATGGGCAAGACTTGATCATAAGTTCGATTTAATGTATGCTAAAAGAGCTTTCGTACATTGGTACGTTGGTGAAGGAATGGAAGAAGGTGAATTCTCAGAGGCACGTGAAGATCTTGCGGCTTTAGAAAAAGACTACGAAGAGGTATGTATACATATGTATTATAATTAATGTCAAATATTATGTGTTATTATTGATTGTTTCACTTATTATTATTATGAATTTTTCTCAATTATTATTACTAATTATTATTGTTAATTATTAAATTATTGACTTTGAAATATTTACTATTATTGTTATTTTTACTACTGTTATTCTTGTTATTATCACTATTATTTTTTTAATATTAAATAAAAATAATGGTAATAACCATGCAATTGTAATTTTTAAGTCGTAATATGAGAATGTTATGTTTTTTAATAATAATTTATTATTTACTGAAGTAGAAGCAAACTGATATCTGAAAAATGTTTAGGTTGGTGTTGATTCAATGGAAGATGCTGGTGAAGAAGGAGATGAGTATTGAAATAGATGGGAAATGGCAATTGAAATTTATCAAAAGAAAAAAAAGAACGGAGAAAGCAATCAACTATCCTATGCTATCCTTACTGCCATAATGCATATATACACAGACTCATGTCATTTTGCTGTAACTGCTAATTTGTTAATTAATAATCGCTGTCGCTAATGGAATAATCTTTTTATAATTTTGTTTGCTTTTTTATTTATTCATTGTTTCGCATCGTATATACATTCCTCTTCCGAATATTATTGTTTTTTTTTTTTTCAAATTGTTAATTCCTTCTTCTTTGGTATCGAAGTACTACTCCATTTCCATAAATGCTAATTATAATATTGTTGGTCTGTTCGAAATTATTTAAAGATATAGCAGGAAGGAAAAAATTAACTATGAAGAAAGAGGGAAGAAGTTAATTAAAATTATAAATATTTTTTCTTATTTAATTTGTAGAGACCGACAATTAAAATGACGTTCATTATTCCGTTTGAACTTTTGACACAGTTAGTAGTAATTGTTTATCAGGTTGGTAATAATATACACAGTTAGTAATTGTTTATCAGGTTGATAATAATATAATTGAGATAAGTACGACGGAACATTTCCAGTTTGGTCTATGATGTGTTGGGTAATTTGTGAAAGGTAGAAGATGCTAATTTACTCATTTAAAATCCACATTTTAACTAAACTCAATTATTGTTGCTATCAGCAAATGCAATGCTTATACTTTTGAAGAATTATCAGTGATTGTGGATTTCCCATAATAAAATGTCCATTATTTTCTTTGAACTTTTGACAATTAAAAGAAAAGGAAATAACAAATAGTTGCAGGTGGTTCTTGCCTTTTTCAGAGTTAGGATAAATACTAAAAGAGAAAATTAGTGAGTGTTTGCACGATCAATTTATGGTATTGAAAATCTGAAGAATTTGCCTTAAAGGATATTTTTCCACTTATTCGTGAAATGACCTAACTAGAGATTTCCAATTCGCTTAATTAGAATTGTTGACATTAATTATTAAAGTAAAACAAAAATAATTTATTGCCAAATCTCGAGGCATTATCATACATTACAATCAACAGCTAATGCTATCATTATACTAATATCATTAAAGCACAAGAAAAATTCCAGCTAATGGGTGATGTAATAAAATGTGTGATAATTCTCGTTTAATTATTCTTCGAAATTTCATTATGAAACATATAGGTATTCTGGAAATGATGAGATATTTCTGCGAAAAGTAAAATGTTTTTCCCGATGTCATCTATTCTCTCATTTATTAAAAAACGAGATAGTAAAACGAGATGGATGACAGAGGACAGTAATTTGTTAACCATACATAAACAAATCAAATATTCCAAGCCTAATAAAATATATAAAACAAACGCTCAATAAAATAGAAAAAAAAAAGTGATTAATTTGTATGAAGAAAAGGAGATAACACATGAATATGCATATATTATATTGCTTCAGCAATTGCTAATCATTCATCATTTGGTTCAAACATAACAATTTTTTGAAGAACATTCTGCGATACCGAAAAGTAATTATGTTTTTTTATCAGTGATTTTAATCAACAGCTTGAAATATATCATTTATCTTCAAATCAGTAACATTAATTAATCCGACATTTGATTAAAGCTGCCGATAAAATGTGATGAAAATTGTTATCCATGGAGTAGAACACAAAATTTTCGCATGATAATTAATTACTTCTCTTATTTACATTCGTTCAGCTAACCAAATAGCTCCTTTGCAACCAGTTTGAATGATCCATTTCAGCGCCTCATATTGTGGTGCCTAAAACGTCTCCTTATTTTTTAGAAAGAAATTATCCACAATTCCAATCTTTTCATCCTTTTTTTCCTTATCATAAACAATATCTAAAAAAAAATGTTGTTTTTAAGTTAAATTACTACCACTGTTTATTCGTGATTCCAAGCTCAAACTTAAAAAGTGATTAGTTTAAAATTTCAGAAAAGATTGATTTCTTCTTACTGCTACTGTTTTGAATGATTCTTTGTTTCAATACAATTTTTTTTTCAAAACACAGAACTTAGGCAAGTTATATATATATATAGCATTAGAAGATAAGTACTTGCCTTTAATCCATCATTTTCAACTCCAACATCGTAGTGATGTAATTCATCGTCACGTAATTTTGTCAAAATCTACAACATTAGTTTTTGTTTGTTTTTTTTTTTTTCTTAAATTCTTAAGTTCTGAAATTTCATCTCTTCCATAATTTCTTTCCCCGGCAAAGTTAATCTCTCACAATCAGTTAGCATCCAAAAAATTATCTCTATGAATTGAATTATACTCAGCATAAGGATAGAAAAAGGATAAAATGTTTTCTGAGGTGTGTATCTGTAATGCATACAATTTAAGTCAACTGAATTACCATAGTAGTATCAAAGGTATGAAATATAACAGGAAGACTTATGAGAAATTAATGACCTTCAGAAGATCAGCATGATCCACGGGGTCATCGTCAAGTAATTCCATCAATTGCTGATTATAATGTTCACCAATTAACTCTTCTACAGCTGTTGTACATGCCATTGCTGTTTCTTTCCCGCAAAGAGCTGTTCCGACACCTTAAAAATTTTTTTTTTTCTTTCTTTTATTTTCTTTCCAAAATTCAAAAAGGAAATTCAGTTAAAAAAAATTAAATTGGAAAGGGAAATAAATAAAAGAAAAAAAAGAAACGAGATTCTATTTCAAATAAAAAAAGAAAAAATGAATTTGTTAAAAAAGACAGAGAGGATATAATTTTAATTCGAGTTCCCTTCATTCTCACATTAGTTTTGAGTTTAAAATTATAGCAGTGATATTTTAAAGCACCAAAATGATAAAAAAATCACAGAAGATGTCTATAATGCTGATGATTCGTCATTTCACCTAATATTCTCCCTGCCACATCATTTTTCAAAAACGTCTGACTCATTTTTAAATCTTTATCAGTGCTAAAAAATCAACTCTAATAAAAACAATAATAAAAATTCATGATAAACAACACAAATGACATGTCAATAACAATAATCTTTCGCATTTTTTGTTTCCTTTCTTCTATTTCTCGTCCAAACAAATATACTTCATTTAATTTGATGAAAGAGAAAAATTTTTTACTGTCATGAATATGGGAGATAAATGATATTGCTACAAATAAGACTAAAATATTCATTCTCTAATTTTTTTATTTTAATTCCAATATCTTTAGCTCATTTATAATGCATTAATTTGGTGTTTAGCTGATGCACGAATTTTTCCATTCGTTCTTTTTATGAAATAAAATAAAATGAAACCGAACAAAAGGCGAATGGAATGAAGAATCTAAGGAAAGAAATCAGCAAAATGGAAAGTCGGAAAGGCAGGGGGTTTGGAAATCTTCCTTCGCAAAATCTGCAGTAAATTTTACATTATATCACCAATAATAACAGAGCTGATAATAATACGATACTATAAATAATTAATAAATACAATAAATAATGATGACAATGGATTATTTATTATTATTAATGTTTTATTATTATTATTTATTATATTATTGTATTTATAAAATTGCTACCCTAACGAAAATTTTAATATAATTTTCAATTCTCAAGCGATTTAATTTTTTGTTACAATTTGTTTCATATGTTTTTTTGAAACATAAAGGAGTTTTGCTTGTTTAAAAAGCATTGCATCAGCGACGAAATTTAACTGGAAAATTCTTCAGGAACTACGATATGTGATAGATTTCTGTTTTGTCGATTGTTCCATTTCAGCTAATATAGCTTGCAAAATAGGCTATTATCAAATAAATCTATTGAATGTAAAGCTAAAACATCCGGTTTGGACTAGCCTTATTCATGGCTGTTTAGATTGTCTGGCTTGGTATTACTTCCGAAATTGCTTGCACAACATTTTATCTCACATTTCTAGCTAAGCATTCATTTTTTCATTTTATAGAATTCAGCTGGGAAATAGCATCAAAAAAAAAAAAAAAAAAAAAATGAAAAATAAAAAAGAAAGACAGTCTCTCCGTTATTACTATTATTATTCTTACTATATTATTATTTATTATTATTTTTGTTGTTACTATATTATTTATTACTATTATTATCATATTGTTATCATTACTGATAATTATTAGTGAAATGTCACAAAAAAGTTTTTATTGATAATAGTAAAAAAAACGAAAAAGTCAATGGCATTATGAGACTAATTTTCATTAAAGCAAATGTATATTTGAGTTCAACGAAATAGATAACATTTCTAAATGTTTGCTATAACATTTAAGCAACTGTATGCAAATACTGCTAAAGAATTTTGAATTCTGGAACATGAAGATGAATGTTTGCTTTTAAATGTCATTTAAAATGTGGTTGGATAATCATGCATATCATGATATTTAAAATTTTAATCCACAAAAGCTATCATTTAATTTGAAGGATTATTTTATGCGGAAATCAGTTCTTTCAAGACTATGGCAACTTCTTTACTTATGAAAAAAGAAAAAAAAAAAATGAACGAATGAACCTAATGCATAAGCAGCAATACTCAATAATGGAGCTAAAACTGTCGGTTGTATATTATGTTTTGCGCATAATCGCTCCATTATATCAAGGTGTTCTTTCTCTTGCGCTTGCATTTCTTCAATTATAGGTCTGGATGGATGTTGACCTGCAAGAACAATTACAGGTCTGGATGGATGTTGACTTACAAGAACAATTACAGGTCTGGATGGATGTTGACCTACAAGAACAATTACGAGTCTGGATGGATGTTGACCTACAAGAACAATTACAGGTCTGGATGGATGTTGAAAAATCAAAAATTTATTTCATTACTTTAAATGAAATAAAAAAGTTTTCGCGCAATATTTAAGAAAATTTCGCGATTCACTGAATTAACGCTCAAAAATGGAAAAAAAAAAAAAAAAAAAAAAGGAGAACGCTAACAAAACAAAATTTCTGTGAACTACTGTGTAAAGTATCGTTTTCTTAAATTGTTATTTCTCTATTTTCTTCTCATCTGATATTTTTAATTATTCTTATGCAATTGCTGATAAAATGAACAATAATGGAAATATAACAGAATATTTTGATTTATTTACTTATTACTATATAGAACTATTTACAAAATGTAAAAACAAAAGTATTATTTGTCGAAAAATATGGAAAAAAAAAGTTGAATATACAAAAAAATAACCTGATATGACAGCCTTTTGTCCATCATAAATACGTATTGCTGCTAATTCACCAATATGATCAACACGCAAAATTTTTGCTAACAATTCTTTTCTGCTCAATTTATGCATAAAACGTGCTGATATTTTATACATCAAACTGTAAATTGTAAGAATGGACTGAATTATTCGATTTAATTAGCTAAATTTAGATTATGTCGTTTTTTCTCCTTATAGCTTTAAATAATGTTAATACTTAACAATGAAATGCTGTTAGATGTGAAACATTACCAAATATTCATTATCTGAAAATTTGCCTAATTTCGTTTTACTCTGTAAAAATATCCTTTAGTGCTTATTTTAATAATGATTGTATTATAATCACTCGACTAACTATTAAAATTACATATACGGAAGATTTTTTAGATATTCATATTTGAAATACTCTTGGATATTTGAATTACAATGGAAGTAAATCAATTTTTATCACCAATGTCAAAGAACCAACTTTTTAACTACCTCTTATAAACTCATCATAATCTGGAAAAAAATATGCAACATGAAATAGAATGGAAAATAACTTTATAAATTTATCTATAAAACAAGCAATAAATTGAAAATACACGAATTTTTTGTTGAATTAATTATCTTTGATTCTAATACGACAAATTTCAATTATTATAATTTTTATAATTTGCACATGATTTGTTTGTTATTTTGACTATTCAATAAAAAAATCATTGAGTGGTAAACTTCATCATTACATTCCTGTTGCCGTTTCGAAATATGATTAGAAAAATGATGCAATTTCCTAGATTTGCCGTCTCAGTTTTTTAGAATTCAACAAACTTTGGGGTTAGAAACGCTGCCGAAACCGAAAAAAAAATATGAGATTTCCTAGACGTATTCAAGAACTCGACAAAATATCAATTAATGGAGTATATGATGAACATTATATGAATGACCATGACCTTAGTTATGATTACCATATTCATGTTCATGAGAATGGGAATGAGAGTGGGGATGTGAATCGTCGAATTGATTTAATGAACTTGAAGAATGAAACTGTGGAGGCCGATGCAAGTCGTATGATGCTGAGTGTGTCTTACATGTTGCTTGCCAATTTGTTACTACATCTTTAACAATCTGAAAGGTTTTTTTTTCCTTAAATTCTACCATATATATATATATATATAATTATAATTTTCGACTTAAATGAATTATTGCGAGTTGTGTTTGTCTTAGTTCAAAGATGAACTAGAAAATTTCCTCAAATATTACTGTTCACAGAATTTCTTAATGAAATTTATTTTTTTCCAATTATTCATAACTAATTACAACAGTATCATAAGTTTACTTTCCCATAAAATTTGAGAAAAACTTGAGAATAACCACATAAGAAAATTTGAACTGAATCTCAATTACTTTGAAACTTTTTACCTGCACTGTTAATATAGAGATCACAGCAGAAAGTTTTTCGGTCACCAACGCTAGCACCAACTGTTCATCAGCATCCCTGCGCACACGAACATCCACTGTACCAGCCATTGTTGTGAAATCTAACTGCCAAAAATGAGCTAATCGTAATTCTAGAACACCATCTATTGTCGATGCTTCTGATATGCATCTAAACCACGGATTGAGAAAAATATATATGTATATTATGTATGGAATGTTATTGGTAAACAGTGACAAATTTAAAACATATTTCATTTTGGCAAAATTTAATCTCTATATCGGAGAGGAATTTTCTTGATAATTATACATCTAATTATTAATTAATTATTCAGTGTGAAATAATTGACAATTGATTTACGAAATATAAAAATCTAAAAGGCTGAAAATCACATTAATTGCAATGTCACTTTCTTACTTACCTGTCTAATTGATTATGAATATGCGGTGGAGTGGTTTGTAGTAAGATTCGACCTGTATATTTTGACAGTGGCCACATAGTCAGAAAAATACAAACTGAAAGTATTAACGTAGCAACTGCATCAATCCACCATAAGTTTGACACAAACCTTTAAATGATAATGATAGAGTTATAGAAGATAAAGATTTGAAAAAAAAAAGGAAGGAGAAAATCAACAATAGATTATCAAAACAATTTATAAAATTAAGATAGAATGAAAATTCTTACCAATGTGTTATTACACATGCTACAGTTGTTAAAAGAGCCAAAAGTGATAATGCATTCAGTCTGGGCAACAGAAGTACGCTAAGACCGGGCAAAATGTAACAAATTGCATGGGAAATATCAGCAAAATGTTCCTAAAAAAAAATAACAGTATAACGTTCATTTTTTCCAAAAAGGAAACGAATTTTTCTTCACACTGAAAATAATTAAAACTACCTTTTTTTTCCACTCTGCTTCATTCTTCCTCTGAATGGAAGATTTTCAGTCACCTAAGAATTGTTTTCATGTCGTCGAAAAAAGCGAGAAAAAATTGTAGTGGTCACATTTAAATTTCTAGTTCTAAAAAAAAAAAAAAAAAAAAAAAAAAAAAAAATTCATTTTTGATTAAAAAGGAAAAAAAATCCTTCAAATGGTACGCAAAACCTTGAAAGCATACTTGTAACGAAGAACTACTGGATGCAGTAAGTACATGTTGTATTGGTTGATTTTTGACACCATAAGCAGCGATTTCTAATGAAATGGATGCTGCAATGGCACCAAAAATATACAAACCATTTGGATGAAGATGATGATCATTCTCTAGAATATGCTCCATACTTTCTTTAATTAAAAAAATTGCAGCCAATGTTGCAAGTACCTGAAAATAACAACATTTTAAAACAAAAACTCACTTAAAGATTCAAATCAAAAAAATCACTTTTTTTGCACCATTAGTTATCTACAATTGAATCATTCACCAAGTTATTTTTCCAATCACAATATTATTATTTCATTATTTGTGAAAACGTAAATCCAACATAAAAAGATTCCCTGCATATAATTTCTACTTCTTATTTATAACACATATGAAAACCTTTATAAATAATAGAAGACAGTTGATGAAATTCGGACTGAAATTCAAAGAAGATATATCAACTAGTCTTTTCTAATGTCACAAATAAATATTATTACCTTAAAAAAAATATAAATTAAATAAACAAACAAAATAAGCACTAACGGTTGTAGCAAAGACAGCAAGAACAGGTGCTCGAGCAAAGCCATACGTATAATTAACTGATGGCTTCTGTGTTACTGACAAAGAAATAACCGTCGATATCAGTGAGAAGAAGGAAAATACAGAAAGCCATGCAGCTGCTGTTAATATCAGTGATCTAGTGATTGAAACGCTACCAATCAGAAATAATATACATAGACCACAAATAATAGCCCCAACACAAGCTTGTCGCACATTTGAATTAGACCACGCTATCACAGTTGATACCATAACTAGAAATGACTTTATAAAATATACGTGAATTATATGCTATACAAGGTGACGTATTTGCATCCTCCTTACCTGCAATGAAATACAGAACAGGAATTATCACAAGATATTTCCGTTATTGTTATATGTTGTAATTAAATCGTAACCAAAAAGAAAAAATATTGATCACTTGACTAAAATCATTTTAAGCCGGGATCTTCTTAATGGTCCGCGATCTTCGTAAATGAAAATTTCACCAACTTCAAACACTTAGAAATTCAATAACTCACCAATGAACAGCTTTGTTTTCTCAAGGTGGTACATAAAATACGATTCACGAAAACAGGTAGACTTAGAACTTTCGCTAATATCTTAGTTTCTTCACTCAATTTAATACTGGTAAGATGACCAGTGAATATCTTTGAACTTGATATCCTTCCAGAATATTTAAAGATTTTCTTTTTTCTTCGACGAATAAAATTTTGAATGGTAAATAACAAATATTTAATCATCACTGGTAGTAACAAACAACGTTTGAATTTGTAGTTTTCACTTACTTTCTGCACCAAATCCATTGACGGTGATATCTGGCAGGTAATTTTACTGCTAATCCCAATAATGCAACTAAATTTGTGCTAGAATCATATTTTATGCATAGCATTATCAAATTATGAAACATTAAATGAAACGAACATAAAAGAGAGTGAGTGAAACAGAAAAGACAAAGGAAGGAGAAAAGGGAAGAGAATTCTTAGAGATTAAGAACTAAAAAACAGCTTAAATTTTGATTGATCTTCTTTCTCAGTCTCTTCTAAAATCTTTAAAAACAGTAGAAAATTATATTTAACTGTAAATACAAAACTAATGACGATAATTACAACTAACAAAATGATAAAATGAGATCGTCTATTGATGAAAGTTACATGACCACTGATGCAAATAACAATAATACTTTTACATATCTGCAGCAGCTTAAAGCAAAGCATCAATTAATTCCTTAAAAACTTGGAGAAGTCTGTAGAAAAGTCCCTAAATGACTTATGGAATATTTTCAAAAACTTAAAAGTCATTATTTACATGTGTAAGAGAAATATCCGGTGATGCATCACCAAGAATATCTTCGGCACCGAATATCTCGCTGCAAATATCTGATGAACCAGAAATCACCGAATCGCTCGATGTTACATTATTGCTATCGGCAACCATTTCTAGCCACTGTAAATTATGCCAACGGAAGCGCTCAACGTCCATTTTTCGAGCCCACTCTTCACTGCGTTCCTGCAGAAGTACACATATATCAATAAGCAAAGGAAAATTAGAATTACAATAACTTAACATTAGCTTATTTTACCAATATTTTATACACATCCTTACTAAATTATTATCATCTAAATATCCCATCTAATAGAACTGTTTTGTATTACATATTTAAATTATTAAAATATGAAACTTACAGCAATAATGGAAAGCGCACGATCACATACTGCACGAAGAGGTACATTTTTGTCGTGCATTAAATCGATAAGATAAGCACCAATGTGTGCACTTCCACCCATAACACTTTCACTGAGTTCTTCATGTGTTATTATAGCATAAAAGACGTATACCACTTGTATGACCATTTCATCATCTTCCTGGTAAACTAAAATCAAAAAATTTAAACTATTAGCTGTTTCAGTAAAAAAGGATATATAAACTCAAATGAAACATGATTCACGTGACTGTTAAAACTGCAGTGTTTTTCCTCTAAGTCTTTCTATAAACTAAAATGAAATAAAATCAATAAGTACTGTATTTTTAATTGTTCTCAATCATGAGTAAATTGCCCACAGGTATTTATTAACAGCGACCAGAAGAATAGTACCTGTCAATAACTCGATTAGCTGATCTGTGAGAGGCACTATCAAACGAGCCGCATTTAATTGTCGAGCCATTGTTCCACACAGAATAATCACCTAGAGCAAGAATAAACAATAAAATCCTTGCTTTTTTTTCACTTTTAATCTACCACGTATTTTGCTTCATTATCCTTCTTATATTTCCTATTCGTAAACAATCATCTAACCTGCAACAATTGATCTGCATGTGATTGAACCATTAATTGCCCTTTAAGATTATCCTCAATCCACGAAATAAGTGAAACTTGCTCAGCTAACGATGCCCAGTCAACACTTGTTAGTTGGTTGATAATACCCAAACATTCTAAGGCAAATGAATCAAGCCCTTTCTCATCCTTTTTGTCCATTACAATTTCAAGCAAACGAATAGCCCATTTCTACAAATGATTGTTATATTCAGGGAAACAGTTGTTATAAAAGGATTTCTTCGACTATTTTTTTTAGCACTTTTTGCTTTTGATTTCTAGAAAAGAAATTAAAAAGGTTGAAAATTTTCGTCAACATTCAAAAAAATCAATTTATCTCCCTAACTATGATAGCAATATTCCTTTAACATATTGTCAATTGCTTAACAAGTTACTTTAACCCTGCAAATTTTCATTTACCGAAAACATTGCTTGTGTAGGACCATCGTGAATTGCAATATTGCGTACTATTTTCAGCAATAATTGATCTTTTCCATTTAAAGCCGCTTCGATTAATAAATTAAGTCCTTCGCCATCAGTACCACAAAGTAATTGAGCATTACGCTTCTCCAGTGCTATATTGATCAAAATTGCTTTCACTATATTCGAATTATTACCAGTTAGCAATATGCGCATTAGCTATAGCATAAAAAATTTGATGAAATATAGTACCTCTGATTACTAAAAAATATAAAACTTGATAAACTTCTTTTCCTTATATAGTATTATTACGTCGGATTGAATATCCTGGAAATTCAAGTAAAAGATATTCAACATGTTTCAAATCATTCTTTCCAAAATTTCAACCTTAAAAGGTTAATTTCAAAACTTATCAAACTACTTTTCTCTTCAATAATTCAACTATAATGAATATTCACTGTTTGACCGCAGCTGTTCAGCTGCTAAAATTTTTTAATGCTATGAAATTATTTAATAAAACTCACATTTTGTAAAGCGTCGGTATAGGTAATCATTGCTTTAGCGTCATCATTGATGCTTAACTGGTAAAATAGTTTCAGGGCACTTTCATCTCCGAAAAAAACAAAACCACAAATCAAATGAAAGAAGTTTAAAAGTTTTCAGCAGCTATCATTACTCCATTAATTCACTGAATACCTATCTTTTCTATTCAGAAAATATTACAATTCAGTGAAAATTATTTAACACGAAGGAAAAAAGAAATTACCATCAATTAGCGGTGCTACATGAGAAATGAAGCCAGCAGAAACCATTTGATCACGAAGAGATGGTATAAATGACAAATTGAATAACAGTTGAATAGCGCTGTGTCGTAGAGTTGCATTTTTTATTGGAAATAAAAAAGATATATTTTCTACAACGCGACCGCTTATCTGTAACTTTTATTGAAAATGATAAATTAAAAAGAATGCAAGAAAGTTAAAAATATAAAAAAAGATTATTATATAAGGAAGAATTTCGTGCATGCACCATTCAAAAATACACATTTTAATTTCATCTTTGCATAAAATACATACCATCGCTTCCTTATTTTCAGTATAAATGCTTAATTTAAGCAAAAAATTGGTGGCAGATAAAAGCAACGATAAAACAGCGTCATGATCTTGTATACATTTCGAGAGCAATGCAACTATCCGTCGATTCACCATTTTCATTTCAACTCTAATATCTTCAGCCAAATTCAGCAACAAATTTAAACAAGCTGCAAAACAAATTGTGACCTTTATACAATTTCAATGCCTATCTCTTGATAACACTTTTTACAAATTTTTCATGAAAAACCAAAAAATAACCAGCAATTAATTGCTGTTGTTTGCGAATTGCAAGGTTCAAACGACGTTTGGTACATTCATCGCTGTGACATGCTTCTGTTTTCCACGCTTCCCAACGTTTCAATCCATAATCAACAATTTGCATCGACAGAGAACCAATCTAGAGATGAATGCTAGACAACACAACTATAGTTGCATATTTTATGTACACTTTGTTAAAAAATTTTTCCCATGATGCATGCATAATATTTTACATTTCTAGTAAATGAAAGTTCTTGAGAAAATTAAATCATTCCATGAATGACAAACTTTATGATGTGCGAGAATTTGATGAAAATTGGTATAGATGGAAAAGTTATAAAATACTGTAATAATATTAGTAGCAAGTTCGAAACTTTTCTTCCAATCATCTCGTAATACACGTACGAGAGCACCCATCAATACCTCTAAAATGTCGGATGTATCAAATAATGAATTAAATGAATTATTTTAATTTATAAGAATGTGCAAATACAAGAATAGAAGAGCTAGTGATCACATTACCGTTCCCAATAAGTTGCTGAAGGTTTCTGTGATTTTGACTAAGCTTTAAAAACAAAGATGTTGCCTTTGTTTTCTCTGAAACTTCATCGTAAAGCATTTCGATATAATCCTGAAATTTCTCAGTTGGTCATTTTGGAAACTGGCCGGTATTAGTTGGAATTTTTGCTTGGAATGACAGGAGCGAATAGTAAAAAAAACAGTGAACCAAAAAATTCTAAGGAAAAAATATTACAAGTTTCATTCATGAAAAATAAGACTAAGCTGCTGAAATTAAATAACAAAATTTTTGTCTAGGGTTTAAACAAAAGCATATCATACAAATATATTTTAAAGGCATTACTTTCATATATATATATATATTTGTTTTTCCGCATAAAATACCTCACCACAATTTTTTAACCAATTTCAGATACGAAAACAATTTGATAAAAGTTATTTTCTTGTTTTATTTATTTTATATGAACATATTTCAATTCCGGTTTCCTACTAATTTTGAAAGTATGCACATTGTACTACAACATGCTTTCTATGAGATCCCAATTTTATCGTTAAATAATAGAAAAATTACCTCGATGTTACTTATGCTTGCTCGTGATGTCGATATAACATTCAGACCTTCTACCGACAAATTCACATTACCTAAAACTATCAACTATCACCTCCAATTATCAATTATTAATCATTTACAACGGGATAGGAGAAATGGTAATTAAATGCAAAAACTACTTCCGCTACCTGAACTGTGCCGCTTTTGCAAATAATATAATATCTGTTCTAATTCATGAATTCTGGATTCTGGTATTATTGAGCAAACTTGGAGGATATGTCGAGCAAGAGCAGGTATATCCACTCGTTCATTTAGTTCCTTCAGCTGAATGCTATAAACACAAATTATTAAAATGTTATAAGATTATCCAAAATGTAAGATTAACAAAAAAATTCAAAAAATTTATTAAAATGCAATAATCCATTAAACAAAAATATGTATTAACGAACACTGTTTTGCAATGCTTTAATGGCAAAGCAAGTGATGCAACTTGCAAATTATAATCCGCTGATTCGACTTCATATTTAACTATAATCGCTGGACTACAACTATGCACATCAAATTCAATATTTTTCACTTTCCTGAAATTCTTCAATTCGTCATTAAAATTTATCTGAAATTTAAAAATTATATTATCCTTCTATTCCTGAAATCATTAAAAAAAAATCCTCACTAATAATATGTGAATGTGACCGTTAACTTCTATTTTTAATTTTTTAAAAAATAAAAAGCCTATCTTTCCTCGGTATTAAGTGATTATTTTCTAGTAGTTTAACGAGAATTTCTATTGTGGTCTTAATTTCATTCTTCAGTGGTATATTAAGCTATAACTGATTTACATAGTGATGAAAAGAAGGAACATAACGGACTTCTTTAGGGACTGGTCACTGTTTCGATCAGTTTGTTCCATAGTTTGCATCAATATGATTCCAAAAGGATATACTGAAAGGAATAATATCCATTATGTAATTTGCATCATATTCATCTCTGTCACATCTGAAAATCAACAACTTGATGAATAAAACTAATCTTGAAACATGCAATTATTTATAAGATGCGAAAAAGAAACCAAAGCATGACTTTAACAATCGCATGTTTCGTTGCTAAGCAACTAGCAATCTATCTTTAAATAAGTCTGTTACCTCTTCTACAAGTTTTAATATCAATGAATGAAATCGTTAGCAGAATTCTGACTCAAAATAATAAGGTTTTCTTAATTCATATGATCTTTTCATTCATACCTTAAATAAGAACCTCTAATTTAGCTAATGCACAGACTGAGTTCAGCGAAAATCTAGTGCTACACTGAGTCTGGATCTAATCCACATGTATTGCAAATATCAAGAATCGGAATTGACAGAAATGGACAATTCAGTCAAAGCACTACAATTGGACGAGAATCTTGATAATAGTCCAAGGATTTCGAGCCGGTTAGTAGGACTTATTCAAACTTAGGTTCTAAAATTTAAAGGTGTTAAAATCATATTATCTGATTTTATGTTTTCAGCAATCCGAAAAGAACACCGAGAACACTAAGCAAAGAAATATTGCATTTATTTTCGTTCTGAGATGAGATTTTAAAACTCAAGGAAGTCCAAAAAAGAAAACATTTAAATTCGGGTCATTTAACTTCAAAATTATAGTAAATCTATAAAGAAACATGATGAACTGTTGAAATCAAGTGGAGAAATATTGCGTAAACTGAATGAAGTTCGACAGACCAAAGCATATGAAATGATGAAGTACGAAACGATAGCACGTATGAATGCTTCAAGTGTTACTGCTTATCTGCGACAACAACGTTTGAAACCAAATCAAGTGCCACTGTCAGAGACGGAAGCAATCCTTCAAAAACATCATGAAGAAATGAAAAACCACGCTGCTATTATCATTCAACAATTTGTCAGGAAATCCTTTTTGTTTTAGATAAAAGAATTTTTTTTTTTTTGTATCGATCATTTGATAGGAAATGTATAAAAGCGACTAAAAAAAATTTGAAACATTAGTTTAATGTCCGGATCAAAAATCAGCCGAATAATCGTTCCCATACCAAATTAACTTTTAGTTTCGAAGAATAACTCGTAGGAAACAAATCGATCGAATCTTTTGCACCTGGAAATGGATATCACTACCGAAACGGGTGCAATACATTGAAGCTATAGCGGAACGTATGGCAGGTGGTACCGTACCACGTAGGATCGATTATTCGATCATCAAAAACAAGGTTAAATTTTGGACATTGAACATCTGGAGAACTGAAATTACATTTATCCAAAAATTTATTATTGCGAATTGAAAAACAAATTTCTACTAGAATAATGATGGAATGCATTTCATATTAATTTATGTGTTAATTAATTAGAAAAGCTTGCGAGAATTAGCTAAGAGGATTTGTACACGATTACTAATGAATCCGAAAGATCTTCGTAATTTAATCAAACAGTTATTTTGGAGTATTTCATTAAATCACCAATGAACAACGGTTCACTAGTCCAACTGACTTCAACAAAAATTGTATTATAAAATTTTAGATTACCAAATTAAAAAAAATACATACAAATAAAAATATTACAGCTTGTTGAACACAAGAGAACAATGTATAGAAATGTCGACAATTATGTTCGACGTGAACAATTGATTAAGCATTTTGCTAATGATTTAGCATTACTCAACGGTTGGTGCATTAAAATTGACAACTTGTAATGTCTAAGTAGTAAATTTATAACTTAAAACAACTATCTGCTCCCAATATATGAATTTCATTTAAATACTTCTATCAATTGATACATTATCATTTCCATTTCAATCGATGGTATTTTTCCGAGAGTACCAGGGAGATTGGATATTTTACAGGCATAACGAATATTAATGACTTGATGAAAACTAATTCGAACAATTTTTCTACTCAAAAAACAATAATGATTACCAAATGAAACATTTTATCAAATATAGAACCTCCGTATTTTCATTATTTCGATTTCGAGCGAAAATTAATATTGAAAGCCTGATATAACGGTTTTCTTGTTCCCATACGTTTTATTGTTGATCGAATCTATACTGCAAAATGATTAGCTGTAAGTTTATCAATAATATAGTAGCAAAAATGTAAACGACAATATAATCAATCACTCCATGAAAATAAAAATTCATACGAAAATGCAAATTCATTGATCAAAAACCACGACAAATTAGTGCAGAAATGGTAGAAAACAAAGAAAAAGAGAAACTAAAATCAAATTTAAATGGAAATGAACGACTGCTTACTTTTATAATATAGTTTTCCATAAAATAATTACCATGTCCGTCCACCTGTCAAATGCATAAACATATCTACTAATTTTAGCAAGCTCATTATCGGTTCCATTTCCTCACACAAAACTATATTAATTCGTAACTTGTAGAACAAAAAAAAAAAAAACTTTTCAGGAAAATTATATTCAATTTTGAAATTGAAAGAGATCTATTATGAAAATTACATGTAGAAAAGCATACACAGATAAACACAAACAGAATATGTAGATCTACAGCCTCCTAACGAAAGTGAAAAGACTGAGACCATTGGTATATATACATATATATGTGAAGAAAAGATGGGGGATTTATTGAAATGAACCACGAGGAAAACTGTAACACAAGCAATTCAAAAATTTATAAATTTTTTCATGGAAAGAAATGTGAACTCGGCTGATGAAACAAATGATACAAAAATAAAAAAGAACAGCCAAATAGGTCTGTTAAATGCCGTCCATCCGTTCATCCCGAAACACAATATAAATACAACAGTTTCTTGCATCTACAACTATGACATGCTACAAAATGAGAATAAATAGAATTTTGTGATGCCTCATAAACAGTTGCTGGGAAAGTACAAAAGAAAGTTCCGAGTCATTATTATTCTTGAATGTGTACAAATGTCCCGAAATAATCTCGAGAACAACTTCTAGTAGTTTCACATTTCATAATTTTTTCAAGAAAAAAACTGTGAATCTTTTTGAACTGAAAACTCCATAATACCTGAGCAATGGAAATTTTTTGCATAATCTTCGAAAATTTCGAAAAAGGAACTCAAGTAAGCTGATCCAAACTGTGGATTATTTCGTTTATTTTTTACAATGTATAGTAACGGAAAAACAAACACAAACGAATATGCAATTTTGATAAAGAAACAAAATTAACATGACAAGAGTAAAAAAGAAAACGAGAGTAAAAAAGAAACACCACTGGGTAATTTGATACAATTTGTATAGTGCCGAAGGTAAATTCATCTTACTTATCGATTGCCAACCGATCACTCGGTCATCCTCTAATTCTTAAATTTATTGTATTTTTGAAATTATACAATTTCCTGGAACTTAAGATATCATTTTCTCAGCTTCTATTTTTCAACTGCATGAGTTTTTATCTGAAAGACAAACAAAATTTTTATGTCATCAATGCCATCCACGAAATTTCAATCATCTGCATCCAGAAGTGCTGCATATTTGTTCTCGGATGAAAATGTAAACGGCTTCTGTTCTACATACTTCGGCATTTCCCTCGCTGCTACTGCCTGTAACAATAATTTTATTAGTATAATTGTATAATTGTTGGCCGCTTCCCAAAAATCAACCAGTGAATTGGTACCAGTCTAGAACTCATCTAAATTACTCAACTTATCAACCTCATAATAACAAAATGTTTGATGTTACAACGGCAGCCTACAAAATAAAAAACAATTGTTTTAAAAATTTTGAAAAAAAAAAAAATAAAAAAAGCTTGCAACTATAGAAAGTGTGAGTGTGTGTACCTAAGAATTCAACAAATTCCGTTCACTCCAGAATTTTTTGCTGATATATACAAATCTGGAGGAGACCTGTTTTTTCTTCTCTCTTTTAGAACATTGTTGGTCGGACTGCTGTTGCCATTGCTGTTTAGCTGTCGTCGTCAAGAACTCACGTTTTTCTTCCTTTGATAAGGCTTGTCGTTCCGGTTTTGGTCCATTTTCAAGTTGTTTCGGACCATTAGGTACAATAGGTTCCACATTTGAAGTACCATTGTCGTCCTCAACTTTCTCTTTACTAACTACAAAATGCTTGTCTCTGTCCGATCCTAAGCCTCCACTATTTGCACCACCGCGACGTGAGCCACTTTTCCCTCGACGCACTAAAAAAGCATCATTTAGCTAAAACTGATACTTCAGTTTACATAGTTCTATATCACAGCATAGTAAATGCAACTGCAATTCAATTATTGATATAACCGCTTAGACTATACTATCGATGTTCCGCAAAAAACCATCCTGTCATATAGCCCTGGAGAGAATTACTATGAGAATATAATATGCGAAATCCATGTGGCAACATTGCTAAAACTAAACCTGGAATACTGTGTAATTTGTTAGATTGAAACTGCGTACGGACAGAATCCCGGGAGCGAGTAAATGTTCGATTGTAACTGTTTCGCGTCCGCATTAATGTTGTAGGTGCACGCGTTTCAGACATTTCAGGATACTAAAAAAAATCAACTTTCATCACGAAAAAAAATCACTAAATTTTATAGCGTATTCGAAAATATAAGCGCAAACAACATTTTCAAAATTGCATGTTTTTAAACTATCAATGAGAATTGAGGATTTTTCTGAGATTTTGAAGACATCATTCTTTTTTACCATCTTCCTTTTTACATCCAAAATTATATGAAAACGAGAAATTCAGAATATCAATATGAGACTGAAGCGCTAGGACAAATTATAATAAAGAAATCAAAATGACTTACACTTGAAAATGATTGTCGACGGACTATTGCAATGGATGATTCAAGGGGTGGAGATGGAAGTTTTGGAACTGATGTTAATGTATCTACAAAGGATGGTGTTTCTGCTTGTTTCACGCGCTCTTCATTACTAGCTAATTGAGGAATAACTGAAGTTCTAAACTTTTCATCATTCCCCAGTGATTTACAATTTACTTCTGGAACAGCTTTTTGGACTAGCAGTGGAAGATTTTCACGATCATCATGTGACGAGGGTTCTGCTACCACGGAAACCTGTCCATGGATTAGTAAGGGAGATGTGGGAACAGAAACAGCACGTTCGCTGACCTGAAAGACACAGAACTCAGTATTTTTCATCGTTAAAATGCAATATTTAACAGCAAAATTCTTTCGACTTTACAACAAATAAATTAGAAAAGATGAGAATCAAATACGGTTTCTACGGTACCAACTTTTCTTGATCGCTGTTCGGCTGCTTTGAAAGCTTCGTTTTCTAATCGCAATCGCTCTTCCGCCTAAAAGAATATGAACAAAAGTTCACTCAAACAAAAGTTTAAAATCATAATACGAATTACGCATTTCAAATTCAAACCTTCCACAACGAAATTTTCTTAAATTTAATTATTGGGAGATAAAAAACTATCTACCTGCTTTTCTTTTTCATAAGTATCTACGGGTTTCGCAAGACCAAAAATATTGGTTGGCCTGGCAGGCAAATCATCTCCGGTACTATTAAGAGGTTTCGTCCGAGGCTGCAGTTGCAGCTTACGTCTCTCATGTTTTTCGGTACCATCTGTAGTACTACTTCGTACGCTTTCCGTCCGAATACGTCCAGCACCTCTGAAACAATTACTTTAATCCATTTACTGTTCCTTTACATCATTAAAACAACTACATCTTTATAACAAGGATATAACAAAACATGAATACAGTGTTGGAAGATGTTAAAAGAATGTATTGTTAATATTGCAGATAATGCAGTCTACCTTTTATCGGCATCGTTCTCTATTTCCACATGGAAAAAAGGATTTTCATTAAGTGGTGACGGTCTGGGAGATATACCATATGAATCAGCAGAACTACGATTCTAAAAATTTCCAGCCTTAATTTTTGTGGTCCAAACAATTGGTGAAGTACTGTATAAAAAGAAAGCAGAAATTATAAATGAACCGTAAAACGAGGAGAAAATTGATTTCCAGGCTTTGGATGACGCAATAGACGATTGTCATAGTCGTACCTTCGATTATCTGAAGCATCAATTTAACACTGCATATGAAGGAAAATTAATATTCTATGGTAAAAAAAAAAAAAAAAACGTTTATCATATAAAAGCAACTTCAATTTTATTTATATAAATTTCAATTATGAATTTCTTGGATTTAAACAAATCATTTAGTTCCAATTAATCGGAATTTCAAAACAAACCTCGACCACGATATGAGGAGCAGTGTTGGAGAGGTAAGCGATTATTACGACCATCTGAATTATAAGCATGATACGGTACCGGTGGAGGTCCTCGGCGGGGATGAGGCAACGTGTTGTAGCCTCCTTCGTGACAGCTACCATTATTCCTGTAGTGTCCATAAGCATTATTTGGTCCCACATTACTGCTACTAAAATGTAACCGTGACTGATGATCTTGCAGAGGTATCCTACCGCCACCAACAGATGGACGAGGTTGATGATCTCGAAGTGATATCCTCAGCGATCGGCCTTGTAGTTCCTGGAATTGATGGACGAGTTAGTTAGAAAAGTGAACGAATCAAAAAAAAAAAAATGTAACGAAAAAGAGATAATATGTAGGCCTACTTCATGAAGCTGTAACCTTAAACAAGGATAAAATTTGCTTGATAATTTTTTAAAAAATGTAAAAGAACAATTTGTTTCTAGGGAAAACGCAGAATTCACCATGCTATTCATTTTTAGAGCGTTCGCAAGAGCTTCTTGGGATGATAACGAAACGATCGCAGTACCGCGTCTAACAGTTTGACCTTCAGAACGAATATTTACAACCTGTAAATTAAAAACATTGAGAAATGCCTTCATTGTAAATAGTAAACAACTATGCAACGATGAACTGAGAAAAGGTGCAACAACTTTAGTAATACCGCAATCTAAATTAATATCTGTATGTGATCAAACTAAGGCAATTAAGCAGGATGTGCTAGATAGCCAACTCTCGATCACTACAAGTCCTACAGGCAGTGGTTTCGCAAAGTAGCATATTACCAAATACTGGAACATGCGAACTGTTGCAGAAACTCGGCGAACTCATGATTTACCATGGCTGTAACGCAAATTTATTTATATGTAACAAATTTGCTGACTTAGCGATGGAAAAACCTATAATGGAATCGAACCGGTCATCTCTGTGCTTTACCTATAATGTTCGAACCAATATGCTACCGGCCAAAGCATATCTAAACTAATTTAGTCCATCGTGAGAAGTTTCCCTCCCTCTCAATTCTAAATTGGACTTTTAGATCAGCTAGCCCTGAGCAATTTCTTATTCACTGCAATCAAAACCTGACATGATACGAAGTTGAATATCTGGTGACTTACATTGCTTTCACCACCAAAGAAATAGAAGAGATCGCTGTCGGACGACTTATAATTAATATTGGTCACTTTAACTTCAAACGGTGGCCTATCCGGCAAATTAGCCAAATCCACATTTCTAGAATGTGTTGCTCGGTCTAAACCTAGTAAGGATGGATGCATATTGCCGTCGGTATTCTGATACTGGTCCCAATCACCTTGCTGTGATGCACTTGCTCGTTGCATTGCATTAGAAACCTGCTTACCGTCGGGAGATTCCTGAAATGATCACCAACAGATGAAACACAGAAAAATGACGAAATCCGTAAGAAATCCATAACCGATTGCTACAACAAAAATTAATTTTATAGTATATATTATAATATCGAACTTTAAACCTGTATGGTAGAAGGCGAGTAAGAAGTTGCATGAGCATCAGCTGCAGCAGCATCGGCCCAACTTCCAATTCCTTTATGCATATCGAAAATATCCATTAGACTAAAAGTTTTTTGATTTTGTCGCTTTTTCGATTTCTGACTTCTACTTCCCGACCCAGGACCTGATACAGAACATAGCGTTCCGACCGGGTGGTTATTGGTACCGGTAGTTTCCGGAAAAAGGTCTGTTTCTTCAGTGGAAATTGATTTAACAGCTGCGGGTGTAGTCGTTAGTACAACATTGTTTTCCATCCCATCCGTTATAGGTTCTTCCTGCTGATGATGGATTCCCGAATTACCGCCGGTCATGCAATTTACCTCAGCAGACATTCACAAAATGCAGTCCTGTGGAAATTGTTAGCTTCTGAAAATGAAAGTAATAATCCCAAAAGTTAACATGGACGGAAGAATTTCAAAACAAACGCAGCTTCAAAAAATAATATTGTAAAGATTAAAACTGCACAAACAAGAAAACAACTCTACGACTTATTATTTCTTAAATTTTGTTAAAAGACTAAACTATTAAAAAGGTCTAACTACACTGTACATAAAATTTATGCACAGTATTGAGTAATGCAGCAGTTATTTTCTCAAACAACTTCTAATAGCGTATACTAATATAGTATGACTTTTTTAAAATGTAAAATCAGTTGATTTTTAAAGTGTAAAATCAACAATTACACACTAATATATCATATTGCATCAACAATATCTTCAAATATTTTAATAAAAAAATGAAGTATTCTACAAATCATTGTTCGAAATGTTTCTCCTTTCAAAATGAGAAAATGGTATGAATTATTTTACGTTTAAAGTTCAACTCACAATTAGTTTGTATTCGGGAAGACAAAAATGAAACAGCAATTTGTAACAAACCTCAAATAAATAGAAACACTGGAAATAATCATTATAGCAAGCCTATGCTCCTTCTCACACCTAGCTACATTATAATATAACCAATAACATATATATATATATATATATATATATATATATATATATATATATGGAATTCCTTGTATCCTTATCGTCATCATCTCACCTCTACCTTACCCATCATCTCTTTCAATGTATTTTTATTAAAGATTTAAGAATCAAAGAATTAAAAAAAAAATACATAAAAACCGTCTTGTAAGTGAGAAAATAAAAGGATTCACTATAACGTACAAAGGTACGTGTGTGAGACGACGTGAGCTTAGGATTTGGGATGAAATATGTCAAATATCATTTACAGGCTTACTTTGAATATCAACTCTTTAAAATTCAGCAAAAGTCAGTTTGGAACTTTTTAACTGGTGTCATAAAAAAAAATTATGAATATAGACAAAAATGTAATAAATTTTACGACAGTGCTCTACACAGACAAAATACATTTGTTTGGCCTTTTGAACTTTTTAAGAGAATAATTAGATGTTCAAGAAAATTTTGAACACTTTTCAAACAAATTTCTCGGTTTTTTATTTGAACCAAAAATTATCCATTCCCATCTACATCATATGGATACGGAAAAAAGGAGGGAACAGACAAAAAAAGAAAAAAAAACAACCATCAAATCAATGTCCATTGCACGGCGTATTTGACACGCTGAAAAACTGATACACGAATGAGGTAAACAAAACCTACATTTCCTAGTTAAATTTCCACCTATAAATATCTATATGCATTATATAAATGCTCATATATAGTTTAAGTTTACAACAATGCAATCACTTCTTACTAGTTGTTTAGTTTAAAACTAAACTCCAAGTAATAAAAAGTAATACATGATTCTTTTATTTTTTTATAATTTATCTGACCAAAGTAAAAAATTTAATTAAATGAAAAATACAAAATCTCCCACCAGTTTGCTTTTTGAAATATCCCATGAATATTTTATATATATATATATATATATACCTTAGCTTCAAACCAGAGTTAATTAGTAACAAAAACAAAATCTTTGAAAACGATTCACATTCACTTAATTCTTTTTTAACTTGTTGAGGATTCTCAGTATTTACTGAAAATATAAAAAAATTAAAAGGAAATAATAACAAAATTTTTGCAAAACTGATCAAAAATCATTTCTAGCACTTCAGTCTCACATCTAATATCTAAATAATTTAATCCAATGAAATAACTTTCAATTTTTTACTGCTAACTAGTAGAGCAAATCTAATCTATCATAAAATGTTATCGTTAAGGAGGAAAATCTGTTTAAAAAAAATCTCCTGCCCATTTATAAAATTAATAGAATGGAACTAAATGAATAAATAAACATTAGGTTAAGACGACATACTATATACACGAACATATACATATGCAAGTATACACGGACATACATACATACATGAACGGGCCGACACATACACAGCACTCATCATCATCATATTCGCTAGTCATATTAAAATTCTATTCACTATTGGACTGCTGCCAGAGAAGATGTGGAGACAGCCATCAATGGAGGTTGAAATGTTACATTTCCAGATCGGTTATCGCATACAGTAGATACACAAGTGGAAATATGATAAAATGATGGAAGGAGAAGAAAGTGTATTCCAAAGACAGATACAGCGAGAAAGAAAGGGGAAGAAAGAGAACTGTCCACAGGTAAACTTTATTGTATGACGGAAGTACAATTAACCAGCGAAGAGACGCCAAATGAAAAGTTCAGATCAAAAACGAAATGTATTGAATTCGAATCAACATTCGAAAAGGAGAAACGAAAAAAATTGCGAGTAAATGCGTTTGTAATAGAAAGTGTAAATGTAATATGTAATAGGTATACTTGAAATGATCTTACAAAATGTACTTGAAATGAAGTACAACATCAACAACAACAACAATAACAGCGGAATATCCAAAATGAAACGATTCAACACATCACTATCTGTGTAACATTCTTTTGGTTGTTTGTTCTTGTCCATGTCAATTTAGATTTTAGATTGCAAAAAATATCAAATAAAATTATCCTAAGTATTCCGTTAATTACAATGATATCATGCAGAATTCCTTTAAATGATTTAATGATATTTTATATTGATACATTCAACATTTCTATCAAAAAAAGACGAAGATTAAAAAGAGAAGCAAAAAAAAAGATGAAAAAAGTACTGAGCAAAAAAGAAAAAGATGAAACCTTTCGATGTCCTTCTTCGCTTCGCGAAAATGATCGGAAATAAATGAATTGCTACTGATCATCAGTGGCCATCATCTTCATTTTAATACAGTTTAATAAAGGATTTACCATTTATGTAATTCGTACTTTGAAACAACTGCATACTAATTTCTAAAGAGTCAGAATAAGGATATCATGTCATATCTCCTTCAGCTGTATAGGTTCAATAACTTTTATAATCATCGGAAAACCCGTATTAACTGATTTTCGCGCATGCTAGATAGCAATGTGATGAAAACATGAACTACTTTTTGCTAGTTTTTGAAGTTCTCTTATATCTCTTGGTTGTTTAATCACCCTATTTCCTAAGCTTCATAATACTAAAATTGGAAGGAAAAAACAGTGAAAATGCTGCTATATAACAATGAAGTTTCCAAACATTTGACATTATTTTGATAAGACTGCTAAGTCTTATTACTTTTGTCTAATGTAATTTAGATTCAGCCATTTATCAATAAAGAATCAACATTACATAGAAACCTTCAATTTCAAAGAGCCAAACTATTTTTTCTACCTCAGTAACACTTTAGCACAATCTTTAAGCTTTCTCCCTTTCATTAATGCCAGTAATGAAAACTGTTCCAATATCTCCAAACTATATTTTTGTTTTTCTCATAAACAAATAAACATAAAAAATATTCCTAACAATATTATTTCCTGTTTCTCCCATACTAGGCTGAACTGGACAGAAAATATGCAAGTATTAACAAGAAACTGAAAAAAAAAGAGAATATCGCTGTTACTGATTGTTCTATTAGCATGGTATTCGAAATGCCTTAAATTACTCTTTTCTTACCCAACTCTAAACCAATGTTTTTTTATAAAACATAAGCTGTACTAGACACAAATTACTAAAGAGTTAAAGTATCCGTTACGTTCCTCTTTTGGAAACGCAACAAATGGAATGAACTTAATCTTAACAATTTTATTGAAAGGGAAACAGCTTCACAGATAAGCATTTCATTATCTTCCACAAGTTCACCAGGACATGCAAACTCCCAACATTCGTTAGATGGAAGATCTAAATGTCCACTGGCAGTGTATGTGATTTTTATTTTAATAATCTAAAAGTATTTAAACCATTTGGTGAAAGAAAATTTGCTGTCTAAAGAAAGGGAACAAAATGGTGACGCAGAAATGCTGTACCGAAAGCGGCTTCAGCAATTCTAATATTTCAATAATAAAACAAAAAAAGAAACTGAATCTGAAAACTCTTTTAATACAAATACTTTATGATGTATTTAACGCACTTATTTTCAAATAAAATGGATGATGCTTCGCAACAAATAACATTTTATTTTCAACAAAATCTTAAAAAAGAGCAAAAATGAGTAAAAAGTATTTCTTTCATTAGTATGATAATAATAAGTAATTAAAAGAAACCGATATTTCACATTAACATAACGAAAGAACATGAAGTCCAATACCGCTTAAAAAGGCATAAAGAATGAATCCATTTAAAAGCGTTAGATTGAAATAAGACGCCAAAACAATGGCTAGTGAAAAAGTGGGTCAAAATTTTCAAAAAATGTTTGTACGCATGTTTAGCGGCAACAGGAGAAAAATGAAACCACCTTAAGCGATTTAAATGACCAACTGAAATGACAAAACAACTGTAAGAAGATAAAACCATTTTGAGATCTCACTCCTTCATCTTCTATTCAGTGATAAGTGCCATTATAAATGAAATTTTTAACCAAAACTTTTTTCCGCTTCTGCATAACTGCGTTTAATGTGTAAGCATTTTAAGCATTAACATAACTGATGATGTCATTAACAGTAATCAACGCTGACCTCATTTTTGCAGGGAAAAAGGAGAACAAGCATATACAAATTTGTCACTGAACTTTTGATGTCGATAAATGAAAATTAGCATAAAATGAGAAAGAAATGTGGTCTACCATTCATGATTATTTAGAACGTTGAGAAAGAAATAAAAAGGGAACGGATGGTGAAAAATAATTTATGACTGTTCCACAACTCCTTCTTTCTGATCACCAGCTTCGACCTTATCTTTCTTTTCTTCGTCCGTTGCAGCTCCTGCTTTTGCTTCGTCATCAACATCTTCTAAGTCTGGCATATCTGTAAAACTAGAAAATCAGAACTCTTAAAAACTTTGATTAAAAGCATTTCTTCGGAAATAAAATACCAACTGATGCTGTGAAGCAGTGCAGGAAAAAGAGGATAAAATATACCATCATCTCCATCTTCCTCGTCATCATCATCAAAATCATCCAGATTTGGAGCACCAGCGCCACCTGCATCCAACTTAGACATGTAATTCTGGAAATCAAGATCACCACCATTCATATCATCCTCATCTTCATCTTCATCCTTCCATTTGTTAAAATCAACCTTCACCCACGGAAGCTGTAAAATGTAATGATTTTTAAATAAATAAACGTCTGAATTACGGAAAATTCTGGAATACTTGTTGGAGATATTTGTAACAAACAGTAATAAATGGGCACTGTAAATTATTCATTTTCAATACAGTCCGTTGCTCTATTTCCTTCCTCAAGTGATCATTTACGTTTCTATAGAAATGACGGAACGTTAGCAAAAATAAGCAAACCTTGGCACTACTCTTAGACAATCGGGGCCACCATGATGCTGTTTCCTTGTTGATAACCAATTCCAAATGTCTGTCATTAGCAATCTTACGGTAATCCGTCTTAACTCCAGCATAAAAATCCAAAGTAGCTTCATAAAGTGCCTTGCTACCACCATATGTACCTCTTTAATAAAAGTAAAGCATAATGCATACAGAAATAAACTTAACAGGTTGATCAGACGTGACTGTATCAAGTGAAAACAATACTTCTTTGGTAAACATCATTTTCGATACACCAGACAACAGTTTCATTTGATAATGAAGAGTATGACCTACACATTAAAAGATATGTAGTTCTACGTTCTACAGTCATTACACCACCGTAATATCACAGACTTATCCATTATTAATGGTAACTAGACAAAAACTTACTTGACTTGAAGAGACTTTTCGGTAATTTGGAGATCGACTACATTATCAATTTCAATAGTCAAATAAAGTAATTTATCACGCTGAGCCCACTGGACTAATGGATGCAATGCTGTTGCTGTTGTACTGTTTGTCATTTCGATCCTTTAGCCAACTGCTCGTAAGAAATATGCAGAGAAAGAAACCCGAATGTGCGGGTAACGGTGCTGAAAAAAATTTTTTAAAATAAGAAATCTTTTTAATGGAACTGAATTCTACATTTCAAATATATTATTCTCTTTTGTATTAATATGTCTAACAAAAAAAAAACTTTACTGAAATAACGTAACATCCATTATCTGTATCTCAACAAAACAATTACATCTATTACATGTTTCGCATTATCTAAGGAAAATAACATTAACATACACCAATTTTTCTTAATAACTTTATTACTTAATTTCATCGTTAATTATGCAGTAGAAAGACATGAAGAGGAGAAAGATATTAGCAACCTTTGCTATCTAAGCATTAAAACTAAAATCATCCAAACCTTTACGGCAAAACTCACACAACACATGCACAGCTACAAACATCCCAACTAGTGGATCGATAAATTACAGTAAATCGTGAAACGTTATAGAACTACCGTATATCCAAGTCATACTCGTAGGCTACTATAAGTGAGAATTACTCTGATGAATATCTAATTTGTGCATCACTTACTTTCTTTATTAAAACTACAACATTTCATCAAAATCACTTGGAGCAAAATCCTTTATAAATGAAAAATTACCACCCCCAAACTAAAAATCACAACCCAAAAAGTGGTCAGAATGACGGATATTTGTCAATTTGCCAAAGAGAATCTACTCGAGATACTCAGAATCATACCAGCTCTATATCGCTTTAAATCAAACGTCATAGTGGTAGTCGTTACGAGAGCTATAAGTTTGCGAACATCTGAATACACGTGGAGACATACACGTTAGTTCACGTTTCTGCATGAATATATGTCCAGCTACTAGGTTTTTGAAGGAAGAATTTATATTTTTTCAAAGTACTATGCAATGTAATAATGTGTGTTTTGGCATATATTCGATGATGTATGATATTTCATACGAAAGTATAACCCATAAGTAATGAAGAAGTTGTATAATTAGTATTAACAGATTGTGAAGTACGTGAAAACTCATTACACAGCTTTCTTACCATTTACGTCTAATGTAATACTGATGTAACCTTATTATTCACATATTGCATAATCTTACGCATTTGCAGAACATGCAGTATTTACACGATATCATCTCCTTTGTTATTCATAACGTACTAAAGTTTCAAATTTTTATGTGACATTGTATAGTGCAACTTCACCGTTTTGAACATCTATTTATCCACATTGGAGAATGACATTCACAGGTATGATGTGATATTGATGATTATGGAGCAAATCCAACGGATGTTGACAAATGCTAGGTGTGTCTGACAAGTTGATTAACTACAGGATGCAACTATTCTGACGCAAATGTTCTTATTCACTTCAAAACATTACTAAATGACCATATAGCTGTAGTCACTCCGATGAAAAAGCATGTTATGAAATTTAACAAGTAGAAAAACTCGTCACTTTCACCCTCTCTTGATTCCTCATGTGAAATTATAAGAAATATTCTTTTGCTTTTATTACACCCTTATTTTTTTCCTTAAATTTGGAAATGCAATTCGGTTGATTTCCGAAATTTGAGATGATTGTACATCCATCTAAACATGGCGCTGTATTAATACTAAAAATTTCTCGGAGTCGGTTGTCTAACAGTATGGGGAAGCTTCGGATGCATAGCATGAAGAGAATGAATTTTCCATGGCATTGCAGGAAAAAGAAACGGATGGCAACAGATACCTAACTTGGAATTTTTTTAGAGATAATCAAACATCCCAATAGGATGTATTTTGTGAACATGGAATATGATAATTGCACTAACGTTCTCAGTGCTGTTCGAATTTCCTTGCATTCAGATAGAAAAGTACTGCAATAATTCATCGCATTATCGGCACAGTTTGCAAATGGGAAACCGGAAATCCTGCTTAATATTTTCGTGTTTGGCGGAGAACACTCAAAGGGTATTTTATCGACTAATGCGATTGGAAAAAAACAAATAAAAAATCACATGCAATGAGATTCTTTTTGTGTGTGCATATATGTGTGTTTGCGCGTTTGTATCCAGAGAGAATAATTAAGGCACTAACCCTGCATAGCTGTAATTATTTTTCGCTCTTTCTAATGATTCAAAGTAGCAAGAAATGTAGAAAATCCAGAAAATTTTTGTAAATGCTGGAAATTCAGTAAAAGAAATCAAATACAACTTCCACACTTTTTTGAAAAAAAGAAAAAAAAAAGAAAACATTCATGGAAAACATTCATGTATTTCAGTCCATTTCATTATCGCCGTTATCATTAATACCAAAAATGTACATAAGACCAGATCAAAACTAATTTAAATAATGAAAATCGTAACATTTGGAAGAAAAAGAGGAATATAGACCAAGAAGAAAATCAGCCACTCTTAAACAAAAGTATTGCTACTTGGCCCAAATAAAAGTAGATGAAGTGTTTTGTTTCGTGTGTAACGTATGACCCGAAATTTCGACCAACAATACAGTGCCATGTTGGGTTGTATTTCTTGTCAAATTCTTTCTTTATATACGCTGCTATATCTTTCTCGATATTATATCTAAAAAGAAAAAACCATAAACAATGAAAGAAAAGACTACGTCATGTAACATATACATGTAATACAAATGAGTAAAAAGGATTTCAGGACGGTACTTCGTACATACCTAATACTACCAACAACCAATGTTTCATGAAAATAATTTAAGGTATATGCTTTTTATCACATTTTAATACCGCAATTTAAAGATACTCGTCCTTCTGAGAGCATTAGAAAGTTCTTTTCTAAATTCAAAGAGGTGGATGAGCTATTGAATATTTCTGTATAAGCTAGCTACGAATAAGAATATTTTAAAACGTTTATCTTCAAAATTCTTCCGTGATGAGAATTGTGAAGATAAAAGGGAATTAAATCTAAACCGCAATAAAGACTCCCGGCTAAGTTGAATGTCCTTCTTCTAATGAGAATCTTCAACATTTGATTTGATTTGATTACACAATCGGATTTATCATTTTTAGAAAAGAAATAAGTATATTAACGCAGAATATTGGTAAAAGAAATGAACTTCTCTAAAGCCTGTGTTGCACAATCAATAGCATCTTGCTGCATATCTTCTGACATGTCAGCATTTTTGATCACTGCTTTCCTGTCGGTCATTTCTTTTTGCTCTCTTCTGCACTACCAAAAGTATCTTTTGTTGCAAAATAAATTATGAAGGCCTGAAAATTTGAAATGAAGAACTGATAAAAAATTTTAACAACAACACTTTGCAATAATCCGAATTAGTTAACATCAGCATGGAATAGAACAAAAGAAAAGCTAGAATAAGTTTTAAAATGAAAATCATTTCCACTTTTCATCTAATACGATACCGTCTTAATACAACTCAATTTTTTCCAGGATTCACCACACTAATTTGCTTATGCACTCTTTTATTCTAGAATTTGCTACAAAAAAATTAAAAACGAAAAGAACTTTCCCGCCCTCCCGCCTAAAACATGCCATAATTGACCTTTCAAATGGTCTTCACTGAATGATGCATTCTTGGCAATTGAGGAATGCATTTGGGTGAGTGAATGGATGGGTAAATGTCTATGTTTAACCAACTAACTCTACCCACAACGATTGTATCACTGTAGAAACTGCAAGAAAGATGATTAATTATGCATTGCACATGCAGTGAGAGTGGTGTATGAAAGACATTCACTATCACAATACCACTGCAATTAGCCAAGAAACATGGAAAATAAACCTGGGAAGTAAAATTTGCATAATTTTTCTGCTCACTAACTTTTCCTTGTCCTTCTTTAACTACATTTGCCTGAATGAAATGATTTCAGGTGAAGAACGAATGATACTTGATAACAACAGTTAACTCTCGAATAAGCTAAATAACCAAAATTTGCATAGACGATATGAATGGCCTAATATTACGTAACATAACGCAGATATGCTGAAATTTTATCACTTATGGAATTTAAATGATAACCATTAACTGATAACATTACAAACAGACAGACACGTAGACACACACACATACATATATATATATATACTCTCCCCTCCACCACAACAGCCCTCCAACTAATCTCGTATGCATTTGTGTCGGCTAAGGCGCTAACAACAGATGCCTCTATGATATAAGAACCAATCAGAATGCACGTTGCTTAGCAACGCTTTCTCCATAGCGGCATCCCGCGATAGCGGCATCCCATCAATAGGTGCAAAGATGGACATACACAGACAGACATACACTCACATACACACACACACACACGTACAAACGTATGCAGACATAGACATAGATACAGACACAACAAAGATATACATGGGTTCGTACATATTTGCACGAGCTATTCGTTACATAAAACAGACGGTGAGAGTTCAGACAGATGACGTACGTGATGGTAGTGCACTTTACCTGATGATGATGCACTTGCTTGCACTTGCAGTGTTAATGAGCACGCAAATTCGAAGGGATTTTCTTGGTGGGATGTTAAGTGCTGTAATTTGATTACTACTATTTATACATTACACGTACACGTATCACACCCGTCAGTTTAATTGCAGTATTAACGAGATCTTAACTATTAATAAGAGAGTGGGACAGTAATAGAAATTGTGACATTTCGTTCAGACAGAGTACTAGTAGTTAAGTGAACAGATTTTAGGTTTTATATTTAGTATTTAGCATCTATCGAAGTATAACATATACATCACTTCTTTATCTCTGCAAAACTAATTTTATTCTTTTTTTAGATTAGCAATTCTAAATTTCTTCTAGAGAATATTATTAGAAGAATTTTCGTTAAAATATTTCAGGAAGAATGTCACCAATTTCAATCATTACGGAAATTGTTCCAGTCTTACCGTATTTATAGCATTTTCAGACACTGATTATTCTTGGCATTGGAATGAGAATTTGGTTTCACAGCACTTCGATGTCATTGTTGGAAACAAATCAAAATTACAATTTATAAATCTTAATTAAATAGATACTTCATCATCTTCCTCCATATTTTACAAAATCTGCGTTCACTATTTTGGTAAAGAAAACTGATGACTCCGGACCATTTATAATGTTACCCGAACGAAACATAATGATAACAGATTTTAAAGATTAATTAAACCCTCTATAATATTATGTGCTGCCATTAAAGGGACCAAAACATTTTACAATCACATCAAGACAATGATAAATAAGTTGATCAAAACGAAATGTATCTTCTACACTGGCTGGAAGCTGCGCCCTCTGAAATATTTTTCTTTTTGAACTGATCGTTGAATTATGTTCCGTTTAAAAATTTACGGCTTAATTAGTTCAAACAAACGAAGAAAAAGTAAACTTTTCGCTTCAAATACTGTGTTAGACTCAATTTGTCTATCAATCTAACTCATATTTTTTCAACGGTATCTAGCCCATGCTTTTCTCGTTTGATATTAATTTTGAAAAAAACGAAAAATCAAATACGTACGAGAATGTTTTTTTCTCTACACGTCCTTCTGGTCGTGCTCTATTTAAAATTTTCAAGAAGTCATTCGTCCTAGCACGCATTCTTGAATGCATATATGCCTGTAACAAAGAAATAACTTTCCAACTTTAAAAGTCCCGTTTTCTTTGGAAAAGCTCGCTCCATACCTCATGCTATTTCTATGAATATAAGAGCAAAGTCACCTAAAACAACACTTTTCAGAAACATTTCCAAAAGTTCCCCTTCGCTTAAAGTTGTGCTGCATAGTGCCCAGAATAAGACAGTGAATTTTAAAAAGATTTTCAATAAAATATTGCAGAAATAATCTATCCTGTACAAAAAAATTCTTCAAATTTAGTTCATTTATTTCATTTACTAACCTTCGAACATTTTATGTGATAATGAAGGTAATCACGAAATGTATGTATCAAATTGATTGTATTATCACGTGCTTGTACATTCGTATGCCGTGGAAATAACACTAAAAGTTACATATGCTTAGCATGACTTTCAGTTGAATAATAAAACTTGAACAGCTGACATAACAATGTAAGAATCAATAGACAAGATATGATTTCTCTCTGTCCTCTTTGCCGCTCTTTAGTGACAAATGAAAATTATTTATTTTCACTGTACATATCTTTGCAATACACATGTGCAAAAGTGTACACGTTTTCACTTACCGAACGTAATATAGCCAACATTATCTCCAATACGTGCATCGGGACAGTCGCGTAGTTCAAGTGGTGGCTCACCCACTGTATAGAGTACTGCAGGTGACGTTTGTGATGCTTTTCTTCCTTCTCGGAATTCCTTCAAAGACAAATTTTTCCTAATTTATTTTAAAAACTATTTGGTGTTTGACAGATATGATTTCTTCCTCGATGGTACTATGATATAAAAGCCTACTCAAATTCACAACATTTTTCATTGTTCTCCTTCTCTGACTTGTTATTCAGAAAATTCCTCCTGCTAATCCGCAAATATTTCAATGTTTCTTCATATCATTAAATGTTTTAGCAAAAATTATTTCGAAGAATTAGCCTAAGTATATTAGTGCAATATAAATGGAAGCTAGAAAAAAACAAATATGACATGAAAGCAAACTTGCAAAAATAATTTTCCAATGACGACATCATCCGGATCACGGAAAATTGTACTAAATATAACAGTAACTCGATCGGCTTTTGTTTCTACATATCTGAAATTACTGACTTTTCCAATTCTAACATAGTGTTGGTCAGAAATTGAATAAAAATATCATAGATCACTCCACGTTTTATAGCAACCACTTGATCACTTGAATCCACTCAAACTGCTCATTTCCAATAATATCTCAAACGATGAAATATAATAGCTACGATTTGATTTTCAGAAATATTCAAGAAATTACAAAGTCTCGTCATCTCGGTAATGAATTATAGCTCTTTTTGCTCCAGTTTGACCTTGTGATTGGAAATTGAAATATTTTTCGAAAACAGATGCAAAACAATTTCGTTTTAAATGTGAAGCTTGGCTAACAATCGTCGAATAATCATTGGGCAATTCGTTTAGATTGTAGGTTAGTGAAACATTATAATTAGATTCCGGTGTTGTACACAGATATTTACCATATTCACGGCGCAATAACTAAAATACAACAAACACTATGATAACAATTAATCAACGCCTCATTTACAGAAAACAATACTTACTTATAAATGGTATCACTCTTTATTCCGGAACTTCCCGAATTCACATAATACACATGCTCAATTTCAAAATCGGATCAAATTATCTTAAAATACCATAACTCATGAACATCTAAAAGAAATTCAGCAACACTACAGAAAGAGTAATGAAAACAAAAAAAAAAAGTTTACTTCGTCAGCTCCATGTTCTTGAAGCTCTTTGTAAAATTTCAATGATATGCTAAGCTGAAAAAAAGCAAACTTAAACTCAAAAAAATCAGAATTTCTATAAGACATAAAAGATAACTAGAAAAAGAATATTATGTGATTATAAATTAATACCCTTCTTCTGGACTTTAAGACCGCGTTTAAATTTTTATGAAAACTGAAAAACAAACAAAAACAAACCATAATTATCGCACGGTTACCATCAGGATTTGATATGTGGTAAACGACGCCATCGAAATCAGCAAATCTCACATCAACTTTTTCCAATTTATTCCTAAAATAGGGCGTAATACGAAAATTTCTTATCTGCACAATAAGTGATAAATAAACATCATGAAGACACTTCGCTTACTATCATTCAACTTGATTATCTAGAGCTGGAAATAAAACAGAACAAAAAACGACAATACCGCTTAAAAGTTACTTAGAATATCTTGATATGGCTAAAAATCATTCCTGGATAAAAAGCATCTTATTCGAGGTAAAAGTATATGCATAAAATGACGATGAAAACTTTTCTTTCGTAGCGAGACGAAATAAGAAAACTCAGAAACTTCAAATCCAAAAAAAAAAAAAAAAAAAAAAAACGCAGCTTTCTTGAAAGAATTTCACCACTGACAAAGCAAATGTCACGTAATCACACGTGGGCATTAACAAACGAGTCAAAAGTAAATAAAGAAGAAAAAACGTATAAAAATACTATTGAACAAAACAAGAAAGTAAGAAAAAAGGAATGAGTACTAAATAAAATAAGAAAATAAGGAAAATAAACATGTTAGAATGATCAGTGATGATTCAAATAAAGAGATAAAGAGAAAATAATTTCAAGAAGCAAAACAACAAAGCAGACAAGATGGAAAAATAAATGAAATAAAAAAACAAACTGAATGATTCCAAATTTATAACACAAGCTCTTACCCTTGTTTAGCCATAGAGAATTTAAAATCCAATACTTCCGTAATAATTCGATTGTTCTGTTCAAGGATTATCATTGCCTGAAAAGTAAGGAAATTTTAAGTTTTACCAAACTGAACAAAAGGGAAAATAACATAAAATGAAAAATGCAACAAAACAACGAGTAAAACAAAAGAGAGCAAAACTGGAAGTACCCGTAAAACCGCTAATCCACAAAAATTGCGCAGCCCGTTAAATTCGAGTACTTTCTCTCTGTTACTTTACAGTTAACAGAAATAACTTTCTTCAGAAATTCCGGAAGGAAAGCTGTGGTGAGACTTTTTACTTCGGTTGGGGTTTTTGTCTGGAATGTGTCCTAATTTACAGTCTCTCTGTGGGAATATTGGAAATATATTCTGCTCACACTGTTGTAATATAACTACCATCGTTTGCTTACCTTAAAATTTGTTATTAAACTTATCATATCTTACTTTGCTAAATCATAATAACTGGCTATTAGCTACGGATTCTGTTTGCTGTTAGCTTATATTATTATTCGATATTTGATTTCAGGTTTTTAGACTTTTTTGGACTCATTATTATCAAAGAATAATATAAGTTCTGTATTATGTACGTATTTATATATGTCACACTCGAAAAGTTTAAGTAAAAAAAAGAAATTATTAAGAAAAAAAAAAAACATAAAACAAAAAAACAAAATTTAAGCAAATTTTTGTTAGTATACTCTTTTTTATTCATTCCTAGTTACGAACATTCCTCGTATCACCATAGTCTAGAATATCTCGAACAGTGACTTGATACCTTGTTTAGCTGCATCCACATGTCATTATCTCTTCATATCATCTTGTTTATCAATTATAATAATAATTTTTCAGTTAATCTCTTCTATCATACATCTTATGTTAATATGATTAGCACTTTTTTCACCTTGAAACGTTTGTAAGATGAAATTTTTAATTATTAAAAATCCGTGGTTTTACTAATCCGATTCTGGACTTCTTGTGTATCCGTCTGTTTGTCTATGTATGTGCGTGTAATGAAATATCGGTGATACAGAATCGTTAAATCTCTTTCAACCATCACTCTGAGTGTGGAACAGCTGCTATTCGTTTGGTGGACAGTTAAATGGATTAGCCAGCCTGTCTCGAAACACAGCCGTCGACACCCCCGTGCAGACCCGCACACACACACACATCCACTGATGTAAGGTTGATTAGATGTGTGGTGTATTAGTCGGATGTTTTGAGACAACTGTGATTTGCCTTTTTATCTACAAATTTTGCTTTGTGCATGATATGAAAGTGTCAGTTTATTATTTTTGGTACTTTAATATCTTACGGTTTTGTATTTTGATCTTATCAACAGTTATCATTTGTCACACGGCAAATCAAGTATATAGTAATAATGGTAATAGAGGAGACAGAAGGAATATTGATCAGGATAACGATATTTTATATTCTTATGTGTAACGATGCAATGATATTTTTATTAAATTTCAAATTTAATTTTATTTGGGTCATATTGGAAAAAGGAAGGAGAAAAAAATTTCAAATAGATATTCATTAGCAGTTTAATGGTCTTTCAGGGATTTTAGTGGACGTACTTTAGTAAGATCTTTACTTTTCTTGTGACTTGTTCTCATTTCAATTTTGTTGCTAATTTTAATTTTAGGATGAAAGGAGCTTTTTATGAAAATTATAGCAAATTTTAGAACTCTTCTTATCTTTTATTTTCATTTCTTTAAAATTTTGAGTAGGAGAACGTACTGTATGGGGTTTGATGAAATAAAATTTGGAATTGCAAAGTTTTTTATTGTTTTAAATCAAAGTTACAAAAATAGCTGAGTCAAATAATTTTTAAATTCGATATATTTATTTGGCACATTTGTTTTTTCATTATTTTATTATTTTGTTTTTCATTATCTTATCCATTTAAGAGAGACTTGATTTTCGATGATTTTAGATAAACGAAATATAATTTAAGATTTCACTCTAACTGTATATTTTCAACCATTCCTAATTTTTCTTTCTTCCTTTTTTTTTAAAAGGAAATAATAACTGAAAACATCGAATGATGTTAACTATCTGTTTTGATTATAAGTCAGATATTTCGCTTTTAAGGATAAGAATATGGAGAAAGGATAATTATTATTTGTACGACTTCTTTCATGACATAATTTGAGAACGTGATAGTCTAGTTTATCATAATTAGACTAATTATGATAAACTTTCTTTCATTATTTTAAGTGTAAGTTGTTTGAGGGATGGCCTTGGCTGTTGTTGACATACCACTACTGATCCATTGTTTCGATCCTACCCTCTCATTAACTGATTGATTTAAACAGTGATTAGAAATTATCACAAAAACAGAAGGTCATCACATTTCGTTTTTCTCTCCTTCTTTCTTTTTACTGATAACAACCATTTAAAACTTCTGTACTGAAAATTCCTACTTATTTATTGATTGATTCATAATCCTCATATCAATATATCATAGGAGTAACCGTAGTATTGATTTACGTGAAGTATTAAAAGGAGTAGAATGTTACTTTGATGACGTAAATGAAACACAAAATGTCGCGTATTAAAGGGTTGTAAAAGAGTGAATGTTTCTTGGCTTCGTGGAAAATTAGTCTTTTTAATATTTGAAATTAAAGCACGATCAGTATTGCATTTATCGCTCTAAAAACTGATATAGAAAATTTCATTGATATTTAAAATGCCGTATTGTAGTTAGCTAACTGCGAGACGAATGTCGATTACCAGCCAAAGCGATGTGAGATGGTCTGGTAGTAATAATCGTTCCTCTAATCGCCGCAATTCTCAGAATCGACCGGTCAGTGAAGGAATAGAAACAACATACAAAAGATCGTATCGGGATGCTAATTCAATCTATCCACCATTTTGTCGCAAGGTAAATCAAATTATTCATATTTATTTTTGACTTATATGCAATTAAATTTTTTTAAGAAAATTAAAATTTCGTTTCTTTTTTCGTTAGTTTTAAAAAACGTGAAATCCATTTTTTTAATATTTAATTGGAGCTTTAATTAGGACTGTAATCATTTTATTTTCTTGAAATTTCAATTTCAATTTCGAAGTTTGAAAAAGGAAGAACAAAACTGTCATTGTTTTAGTTAGAATTGAATATACCAGATTACATCCCCGAAGGTGATATCGAATTTCCCTTTGAAGATATTGATGATATCGGTGATGAGAATAAAATTCGTGGTAATTGGTCCTCGAGAATGGATTACCTCCTTTCGGCTGTTGGTTTTATATTTAATTTGGGAAATTTATGGAGGTATCTTTTTTTCTTTCCATTTCATTCAGCATTTTTCAGTGTTATTTATGGTTCGGAAAATTCTCTTTGCAAACATCAGTTTCCAGGTTTCCATATTATTGCCGAATAAGTGGTGGTGGATCATTTTGTTTTTGCTACATTGTCCTAATGTTAATTGCGGGTGTGCCTCTTTTGTTGATGGAACTTGCATTAGGCCAGTTTCCAAGCGTGGGATGCCTTTCGGTATGGAAAGTTGTTCCATTATTTAAAGGTTGGTTTACATTTATGAAATAAGGTTTTTTGAGTTCCTTGCTTTATGACAGTCGGTGTTGGGGAAAGTCTCGGTCATCTTTTCTAACCTGATAAATTTGTAAGAATGTTGTGTAATCAATTTTTTGATATCTGGTCATTATTTAATTTACATTTATTCTTATAATTAAAATTTACGTTTTTCTATATTAGTTTTCTGGTCATTATTTAATCTAGTAATCAAATGTGTTTATAATTGAACTTGTAGTTAAAATTTTGTTGGTAACGAATTTTTTTCCTTCTCATCTTTCATTTAACTCGCAATAAACATAGCTATGAATTTCATGAATTGTTTTTCAGGTATTGGTATTGCAATGTTCATGGTATCATGTATTGTATGTGTATATTATAGTGCCGTTGCTGCATGGACAATATCTTATTTTATCAATTCGTTCAAATTTGCTTTACCGTGGGCCACATGCAGTAATGACTGGAATTCGATGAGTAAGATATTCGATGATTTTTATAAATGATTGTAATAAATAGTTATTGCTATTATGGTGCACCGTAGTTTCAAGTATTTTTATGCAGCTAAACATGAATATCGATATGATAGCGGCGCCATTCCTGTACATCTTGTTACAGTATCATGTCGTCATCGAAATTATTTTTGATATGCTGTCACTATTCTTACAGTTCAAAATATAAAATCTCCCGTGGTGTATTTTTCTCTTTTTTTCACTTTCAGAATGCTCAGTTTGGAATCGGGATAGTGTTGCCAGTTGCTTTCTGCAGAACGGCACGTTACTTCGTAATGGTTCCTGCGTTATTGATAAGGAGTATTTGAGTGGTAATTCATCGATTTTGGAAATTTCATCATTTGATATCGATGAACATGTATTACCAAGTGCAGAGTACTTACAGTAAGATTTTGTTCACATATATGTCAGCTGACTCGTATTAATTGCCCTGGTACTGTTCAGAAATAACATTAACCTGAATGCTCATCCCCTAGATGATCATTTAAGCTAATGTTAATATTAAAATTTGAACACTATACGGTTTGAAAGCAAAATGACATTTTCTGACGAGTTTATTTAAATTTATTTTAAAATCAAGTTTTTAGAAAAGATTTCAACTTCCATTCATTTCGAAAGTGTAATTCAACTTTCTGGATTTAAACTAAGATTTCGAAAAAAGGACCAATTTTTTAAGCGATCAAACTATCTTGCTCTATCGAAGAAATGAATACTTTTCCTTTCTTTTTCAAGTTATTTTCCGTCCTATAATTAATTAATCGGTGTTACAGTAATGAAGTGTTGCTGATGTCAGATCGTTTCGATAAAGTTAGTCCTATTAATTGGCATCTCGCACTCTATTTATTAATAGCTTGGTTTATCGTTTTCTTATCTGCTTTCAAAGGAGTGAAATCGTCCGGAAAGGTGATGAGATGTGTCTATCATGTGATTTATCATCAGTAGGATTGGAACATTCTCATTGTATTTATGGTTTTATCTTATATCAAACTTAAAGATCGAAATCATAT